GTTAGGGAGGCCAGACTGTCAAGAGAGAATGAGGGCAAGGAGAGAGAGAGAGAGAGAGAGAGAGAGAGAGAGAGAGAGCGAGAGAGAGAGAGAGCGAGAGAGAGAGAGAGAGCGAGAGAGAGAGAGCGAGAGAGAGAGAGAGCGAGAGAGAGAGAGAGAGAGCGAGAGAGAGAGAGAGCGAGAGAGAGAGAGAGCGAGAGAGAGAGCGAGAGAGAGAGAGAGAGAGAGAGAGAGAGAGAGAGAGAGAGAGAGAGAGAGAGAGAGAGAGAGAGAGAGAGAGAGAGAGAGAAGCAGCAGCAGCAGCAGCAGACTGTCAAGGCAACATGACTAGCAAGCATGTGGAAATGGAGGTGCTAAAACAGAGGTATGAAATGCAGAGACTAAGCGCGAGACAAGCAAGACAGCCAGCACACAGAACGTGAGAAACACACAGCAAGAGGAAGACAATCGGCACATACCTAATATCTTTGATTTGGTCACGCTAAAAGACACTCGTTTTGATACAAATGGGGTTGCAGGTGGCAATGCGGATAGTCACATGGCACATGGCTGGTTGCCTTCCAGCATTGAAGAGAGCTGAACTCAGTGGATGCCGTTGCATAGAGCCGTGTACCCTTGATTATAACATTGGTGTTCCATGGTTGCCAACCGCAACCAGGTGACAACACATAAGAATGTGGTGATAATTGGTGCAGAGTTGAACTTCTGTTTGATGGAATTGCAGTACTGTTTTATACCAGTGGATGACGTTGGAGTTTTGTGCTAACCAGGGTGGCCGAGTGGTTAAGGCGTTGGACTTAAGATCCAATGTGCGTATGCACACATGGGTTCGAACCCCATTCCTGGTAGTTTGGGACCCTGCACTGCCCTTTTCTTGTTTTGTTTTTTTGCTAAAAATTACAATGGCCATGGAGTGCTACATCGGATTCTTGGGTTGCTGTGGTCTCACGTTTTCTTCTTCATGTACATAGCCATTACTGTTGACCGAGTCCAGTTATAATTATACATCGTACCAGAATCTGGCTACTGAGGAGTGCGAGTACAGAACAACTGGTTCTGAACTATGCATGTGTCCCGCAATGTGCAGTTTGTGCATTCAGAGTTTTACTACTAGCCTTCAGTCAACTAAGGCAATGGCCAGGCTCTGTGATCATGATGGTTGTGAGTGAGCTGAACTACTCTAGGCTGTTCTTCACTTTTCCGTCCCGGCTTCACTTATTGGTCTGTTCACTTATCTGCAGTCCGTCAGTGAACAGATCGTCTATTATGGCAGGTGCTATCCTATCCTTGCACTCGTGCTGTGCAGAACGTCTGTGTAAGGCCGCGTATGACAGCGGCGCCTGTCCAATGTAAACAATGCTATGCGTTTGTGGACCATGTCGAAATGGAGCTGGATAGAAGCGATAGTCTACTCCACACTGTATTGGTGGTATCGTTATTCAGCATTTTAAAAGGCTGAACGCAGTTCAAGCAGCTGCATGTAGGCCATAATTATGACTGTTCATCACTCCATGTCTGTCCGGTAACCGCGGAGACTGTAGGGGACAGCACACACGGATTCTGGTGTTGATGATGGGCGTGGGGGTGAACCTCTGGTGTGCAATGCTGTCATGTGCCTGTGGACAGCATGGTCACTTTGTGCTAACCAGGGTGGCCGAGTGGTTAAGGCGTTGGACTTAAGATCCAATGTGCGTATGCACACATGGGTTCGAACCCCATTCCTGGTAGTTTGGGACCCTGCACTGCCCTTTTTATTTTTTATTTTTTCTCCTGAACGTATGACTCGGTGAACATAGCAAAGGGAACCAAAATCCATACAATTTTTTTGGGATGCAATGGCCTCCCGTTATCTTATTCAACCAACACGGGTGCGGAGGAGAGAGAGTGCTGGGTCTTTCTGTCTAGGTGCCGTCTTCTTGGCCGAGGGTTCTGGCAGCTATGGTTCTGATTCTGAATGTTTCTTCATCCTGTGCATGGTGGCACGGCTCTCCACATGGTGATTTTCCAGCCATGTTTTATTGTTAGTCATCTAGGTGTATAGAGAAGGGAAACAAAGTTGTTCACTCGTTGGCAATCATTAGTCATCTACACTGGTTGCAACTGAAATTCAATCCCTGATTTTCGTGCTCGAATGCAGCACCGATTCTAGCCATCTCTATTTTGTAGTGTTACAATCCCATGCTGGGTCTTTGCAATGTGAGCACACCGCTCCCGGGTCGGGTTTCAGTTGCCAGCACTTTATGTGTGTCGTTGCTGGATTCACCCCAGAATTATCTCACTCAAGAGTCAAAACCTCATTGAGCACTCGTTGTCATCAGTGCTAGACCATAACATTATGATGAAAGTACCACCAGACTTGAGTGCTTGATGTTACTTCTCATGAAGTTGTTGGAATCAAGGAGTCGTACAAACCCGGATTTTCGATTTTGACAGCATGTTACAAGGCGAGGACGCGTAGTGCTCCTGACTACAACCATAAACCGGTTGGCAGAGTCCCGGTCTTGCGACCATTTGAACCGTATTGGGAAACCAACGTGCAGACGGGGTGTTCCGACGTGGTGAAGGCCTACCCATGGCCTCGTCGGGACATCACCAACCTCGTCGGCAGCGAGCACCTTCTCACAACAGTCGTCATGGTGATGACTATGACTGTTACAGCTGACGAGCTGAGAGAAGGACGCCATGGGCAGAAGTTGGCAAAAGACAAGAAAAGAACAAAAGAAAAAAGAAATATAAATTACAAATAATTTAATTACAGAGGAAGACAAGAAAATAACATCACAAATCCTTCCAGACGTGATCCCTGCAGCGGCAGCAACGTGAACAATACTACGGCGGCAACACGACGACTTCTACAACACAAAAAACGAAAATTATAAAAATCCTACCAACCCGTAGAGTAACGAGGGTCCGAACCTGGGTTTTCCCAATACGGTTCAAATGGTCGCAAGACCGGGACTCTGCCAACCGGTTTATGGTTGTACAGTCAGACCTCGCTTATCCGGTCCTCGTTTATCCGTATCCCTCGCCATCCGGAAGAAAATCGCTGGTTACCGATGTGCAGCATATGTTATGCATACAACATAACCGGACCTCGCGATCCGCATACCGGTGCATGATTTTGTGTACAAACTGGTTAAAATGTGTACAAAATGCTTCGTCGTATCCGGTTGCATGTGGCTGGCTAGCGCCATCAGAAGCTAGTATCAATGAGTTGTACAAGCAAATGAGGTCCTTGACCTGCTGGGTGTGTGCGGACAGCACTCAGTTGCATGCACTTGTCATTTTTCTCGCTTGTTTTACATACTGGGCACGCTAGTTGTACTGCATAGGACCAAGAGTACATAACCCCCCAGAGTGTGCAACGCCTGATCCAGCTCTGTGTAGGGTCTTGGTCGAGCGGAATCGGATCTTTGCGTCATAATACCGTACACATCTGAGGGGAACCCGGGGAGTCGCGGGTACTCTTGGATCAAAAACAATGGTGCCCTGCCTCGAGACCGGCCTTGCGCTGGTGTGAAGTGTACGCATGACATCAGAAGATCCGATTCCGCTCGACCAAGACCCTACACAGAGCTGGATCAGGCGTTGCACACTCTGGGGGGTTATGTACTCTTGATAGGACCCGTCTACATGTACATGTATGTATGATGTCACTGCTTTTGACATGCCACATGCATATACAGTATGTGTGTTCAGTTATCCGGTTACCTCGCCTATCCGGATGTTTTTGTGGAAAACAGATGTGTGCGGTTAAGCGAGGTCTGACTGTAGTCAGGAGCACTACGCGTCCTCGCCTTGTAACATGCTGTCAAAATCGAAAAACATGTTAAACAACCAAGCAAGGCTTCTGTATATACCAAACCCGGATTTGTACGACTCCTTGATTGGAATGCACACTTCTGACTTCTGTGCCCGTGGAAAGCTGTAGAGCCTTGTGCTAACCAGGGTGGCCGAGTGGTTAAGGCGTTGGACTTAAGATCCAATGTGCGTATGCACACATGGGTTCGAACCCCATTCCTGGTAGTTTGGGACCCTGCACTGCCCTTTTTCTTGCTTTATTTTTGACTGAAAGTGTTACTCGGTGGACATAATTATATGAACAAGAGTCTGTGTCTCCTTCCCCTTTGCCTTCTTGTGCATGTACTGAGCACCTCACATAGTCACAATGGGGTTCTGTGAGTTCGTCTGAGTGTACCAAGAGACCAACAAGGGAAGGTGCTGTCTTTGGATGTTTGCTTGGGTGATCTATACACTGGCACCTCTTCCCCATGACTCAGGCGTGTGGTGCACATCTGCCACTAGTCCTAGGATATGCCGAGCACCGTAACTCACTGGCGTACAGTTATCAATACTGGCTTATTGGAAGTGGGTCCCTGCTTTGTAGAGCTTACCTTCTAGGATCAGGGTCTTCTGTTCTGTTCGGTGGCACAGTCCAAGTGTGAATGTTGTCAACGTGTTTAGCAGGGAGTCGTAAAATATCGTATTTTATGACTCCCTGCTGTTTAGTAATCATGGTAATGCTGTTGCCGTTTTTGTATGTTGTGTACTGTAAGCAGTGTGTGTGTTGTGTACTGTAAGCAGTCTGTATGTTGTGTTCCACAGCTTACAAGCTGGGTCATGATTGGAGTGACAAGTACGGCTGAGTGACAGTCGGGTAGCATTTTCTTCGGGTATCAGGTTCGGGTAGTTTTCCGCGGGTAGCACGGGTACCCTATCGGTTAATGTTTCCATGGTGACACCACAATGCACCCCTTCCCTTACACACTGGATAGACATGCGGAGTATTACATAAATTTGAACACATGCGCTGTACATGATGTCATCTGCGACTTCGGGTTTTCGGGTACTATTCTGTACCCGTCTACCCGAGGTCCTCACGCGTAGCACGGGTACTTGACTACACCACTAGTTACAAGTGGCATTCCAGCTGGTGCAAACAAGTACTAGAAGTCACCTCTTCTTCCAGCGTCCACAGCGAGGCGCATACACAGCTTGTTTAGCCATTAGGAAATGCAGAGGAACAATGATCGAGAATGGAGTCGTTTGTGTCTTTTCCCTCAAACCAGTTCAATGGAGTCAATTATATCTTTTGTCATTTCATTTTAAAAACAAATCATGGCGAGAGTGACGTATTTAGTGTTTCTGTAGCAATATGCTGCAGAGCATTTGGAAAGTTCCAGTCTTATAACAAAGTAGAATTTAGGGCATCCATTCTTAGATAGTACAGTCAGACGCACGCATCCGTTCTCCACAAAAATATCCGGATAGGCGAGGGAACCGGATAATCGAACACACATACTGTATGTATGCATGGCGTATGCTGAAAATCGGTAACCGACGATTTTCTTCCGGATGGCGAGGGATCCGGATAAAAGAGGACCGGATAAGCGAGGTCTGACTGTAGTCTGATATTGTCCAAGTGCAGTCGCTAAATCTTGAAGTACAGTCATGTACATTTCTATATCAAAGTTGAAGTTAATAAACTTAGAGAATTGAAGTATAGAAATAGTGGAAAAATAATCATGATGCACAGTATTAGACAATTCTGATAGGTTCACAATATTGCAATGTAGCCAGCTACAGACATAGCAGATGTTGTTTAAACGTTGTAGAAGCATTGGCGAACTGAAGGCCTTTCTCACACGCGGAGCGGAGAGTCTGCAATACTGATGTGAACTTGAATGTGACCTGTGTTGAATGTTGACCTTTATTGTGACATGTAGCGAATCAGCAAAGCAGTAGAATTAACCCAGCTGCTTTCATCACATGCCCACGCATATACACGCGCGCACTTGTATTTTACATTCAGTTGGGGAGCATGGCGACGAGGAAATTCCACCGCCTGCTACACAAAGAGAGGCATTTCTTTCAAACTGGAGTTGAGGAAGCCTTCCTCTCGGCTTCAAGACGCTTGGCCCTTGCTTTCTCCCGTGCTACAGCTGCAGCAGTAAGGGGGTTGGGACTTGGACTGCGGCTGCGGTCAGTACCTGCGCCAACACTAAGTGTTCTTAGGCGACCAACCACACGCGCATAGTTCTTCAAGCGCTGCATGACAAACGAGACAAGGATATTCGGAAAAACATAGTGTTGGACCGGGAATACTGAAGCTATGTGGAATAGAGACACAAACATGGCATTGCATAACAACACAGTGAACCCCCGCTTCAGTTTCACAGATGCTTTCTTCACATCGAAGAGATGACAATGCAACAAGTCAACTTCAGTACCAATCGCCAATGTACTAATCTACTTAGTAAAATAGGAACATGTGGCCTGGCACAGGGGTATACATGTATGCATGTGACATCGACATTGGTTAGGATGGAGGTTTATCACCTCACTCGTATCACCTGACTTGTATGGCCAAGGCGCTGTGGGGCCTGCAAGCAGACATGCACGGTGTTGGTGTTGGGTATGCCCCATGCATGTGGCACGGCGACTCAGAGAACCGCTCTCTGCACTATTCCCAAGGCATGATAGCATACCAGTCCTCTTCTTTCTTTCTTTCTTTTTGTTTGTTTTTAAATGCCTACACTACACTACAGTAGGCAAATATGCCTGCAGATTACTAGGCATATTTTTCAAACCATCATATGTGACATGTTAGCTATAGCCTCCATGTCTTACCTTCCATCTCTGTTCAAGAAGCTTGGCCTTGACAGTTTTGCTGATATCAACTCCACTGGCTTCTCCTCCAGATATCCTGTAGGAAGAAAGTGCACACAGTGACTTGTTATACACGACTCCTTGAACAGTTTTATGTACCCTGCAAACAGTAAGCAGTCAGACTGCGATAATCTTTCACTCAGATTGTTGGCATCTCAGTCATTGCACGTGGAGACTTGAGTGTGCGTCCGCTCTACGTACTCTCAATGAATTACATTCACATCGATTCTTTGTTCAACCACTTGCTTTGTGCGTTCATTCGAGATTGATTCCTGCGCGAATGTCATCACGTTTTCCTTGCCATTTGTAGATGCAGTGCTGCACCTTCAGTGAGTGGTCAAGTTGCCACTGACTGGCTGCAAGACAACCTTGTTGGGTAGGCAACCCCTAGTTTTCCAGCGCTCACTTCTACACTGGTCATGCATGTGTTGTGGAATGAATGGACCGGGTTACTCTGTGAACTCACCATGGATGTTTCAGTGCCTCTCCGCACGTCATGCGCTTGCCAGGTTCCACAGTCAGTAGCCGCTTCACAAAGTCCTTGGCTGTGTAGTGATAGATCAGGAAAGCAGAGGGAGGGGAGGATGCTCTCAGAGGACTGTTAAATGGAAACAATTCAAGTGATGTGATGTCAGTCATGAATGTTCCACAATTTGTACATGTACCGGTAATGGTCCGACTGACCCATCCCAACTCCAACAGACAATCCCATATAGCATTGCATCATAGATTGCATTACAGATTGTACATCGTGCAGTCTTACCTGCTCCGCTGATGTCCTTCCTGCAGTGGACCAGACAACATTGAAAAGCAGAGGAAATACGCATGCCATTCAATGCAAGACTGTGAGGTGAACAAGCCCCCCCCCCCCCCCGCTGTACCACCAAGACATGTACAGTGACACCTCACAATTGCCGATACTGGTACTGGGATCAGGCATGGACTGTCCTGCTTTAGGAGATGACCTCATTACTAATACAATACTGTAGTACAAGTTCAGAGTACAAGCAAAACAAAACGTGTCCTGGATGCGGAGGTGTTCCGCTTAGTTGAGGTGCCCCAGCCAGGGAAACGTGGCCAAACCAGCTTTGTGACTAGGCCTGGTCATGGGTAGGACTCCATGGTATCTGCTAAGGGAGGTTCTGCTGTACACGTGATGCCGCGGCTTTCAGCGCCCACCCATGCTGTTTTGGAATACAGGGTTCTGAAGCCAGGCTGAACCGTCTTCAATTTTCAACACATCATGCTGTGTGGTCTTACAGACCAGGTGCCGGGCTGCTGAAATGGTCTGCTGACCAGGCCTCACTTGTATTGATTCCATGCCCACTGACCCAAAGGACAACACATTTGTTTTATGATGTGTGCCTCTTACAAGTAGTATCTAATAGTCGTGAGTCGTTCTCTTTCACATGCCCAGCTATATGTTGGCATGTCACTTACCAGTACGGATCCTCAAACTCGAAATGTCCTTTCTTGATGATTTCAAAGAGTTGCGCATCACTCTCGCTGTAGAACGGAGGATACCCGCATAGCCTGCACAACGCCGGGAACAGCAAAATGATCATATTTAGCACTGTACTATGATCTATGAGATGCAGATTTCAACCAGAAGGACTGCACTATTGCATGGAGAATGAGCACTACTACTACAGACCTAGTTGTGTATGGATCAGGGTTCTGTTCAGAAGTCAAATCACTGCATGCTTGGTCTGCTAGTATTCAAGCCCACCCATCCAAACTATTGGTTCCATTTCTCCCTCAAACATGCCCATAACTCCACCACAGCATTGCACTTCATATCATCTATCATACCCGGTGACACGCTCACTTACAGAATGTAGGTGATGACACCTATTGACCAGCAATCCACGGACTTGTCATAAGGCTGCTGTTTCAGAATCTCTGGAGCTGAGCAGAACACACACACACGCACGCATGCGCGCATGCACGCACGCACACACACACACATAATCATTCATACTTATTAGCCTGTGAAGCAGCCGGTGACCCTCGTCAATACAAGATGTTGAACCGCACATTGTATGGAAGAGTATAGTGATAAACTGAGAATTAATGTATGTATGCAAAAACCTCGTTCTGCCTTGTTTCAAAGGAAGCTCTGCCCTTTGCAGTACCGAGCACTGCGTGAACAGAAGAAGAATTCTACTGTGCATGTGTGTACATGTATGTGTGAGTCACTGTCGCTGCACTCACCAACATAGCCGGGTGTTCCGCAGGCTGTTGCCATTTTCACCTCTTCTGCAGCTTTTGACAATCCGAAATCGCTGACCATGATTTTAGAGTCATCATCTGATGTTTGGAAGAGAATATTTTCAGGCTACACAAGAAAGGTAAAGAATGTAGAACAACAAGCAGAAGTCTGAGTACTGGTAAACTGGACAATTAAATCCATAAGCAGTTTGCCTACCCGAAGTTGGCAGTCACGTGATCTGAATTTCCTGAAGCCACTCTTTTCCATGAAAGCTGTGTGCCAGTAGCACAATAGACACCCTTAGCAAACCACGGTAACGCTATTTTTTACGGTACTCGTGCCTTGATCACCCAAATAACGTTGAAGCTGCAGCGTAAAAACGTTATGGGGCTGATTTATCGTTGTGACCAACGGTACGTGTTTTGGCCAAATATTGCATAGTCCGTATGCATTTCACCTTGCATCGCGTATATGGTGACAAAAATAGTTGTACCGCGCTAAATCAAAGCTATTCTCGTGGCAACAGCATACTAAAAATAGCGTGCATCTTGCTAAAGGTCGAACCCAAATGACGGTATTTTGCCCCTTACGATAATACTGTTACAACAGAACGTTTTTTGCTAAGGGTGTCTAATGTTACTACTCAGCATCATAGCTGTCACGTGTCACGTGGTGTGGAAATGCAATTTTAGAAGAACTGGAGTGTACCCAGGGTCTTGCCCCCCCCCTCTCTCTCTCTCTCTCTCTCTCTCTCTCTCTCTCTCTCTCTCTCTCTCTCTCTCTCTCTCTCTCTCTCTCTCTCTCTCTCTCTCTCTCTCTCTCTCTCTTGTGGCACATATCATAGTGCCAGAATAACACACATGGGGAACTTGAACGTCCTTTGCAACACTGCTGCAGCAGTTTGCTGGCTGCATGGCATTTGCTGCTGGTTTGGTGTGGCACAAGGTATTGGTATTGACATTGCTCTAGGCTAACCCGGGTACCAACATCTGTAAATGGCCCGCTGCCCACATTATTGGATGTGACGACCAAAACAGTACAAGCAGATAAATTATGCCAGGGGTGAGAGCACCTCCTTCCAACTTTGTATCCTCACCCCCAAACCACCACAAAAGCACTCAACTTGCATGCTTCTTTTTTTAAGGTAACAGATCAGTTCGATTAATACCGGCTCTACCCTACCTTCAAATCACGGTGAACGATTCCCCTAGAATGGATGTACTCAATTGCGTCTAGAATTTGAAGCGTGATTTCACTGGCTCGCCTTTCCGTGTAGCTGCCAAGTTGAACGACTTGATCGAACAGCTCTCCACCACTAACCCTGCAGTGACAGCAGACACACAACAAGCACATCATTTTAGGTTAGTATTAACTGACAGTACTGTTTTGGAATTGTTTGTATTACAACTTCCACTCCAGGCCTGTTACTGCTGGTCTGTTTGATGGTACATTGCACATGGTTGTGTTTATCATGAAGTTGTGGGAATACATGCAATCAAGAATATGTACAGACTGAGTAATATAAGCAGTGGTGTGGCTTTGGTGTAACGCTGTACTGCAATGTATGTATCACAGCCACCGGGGTGATTCCGGTACTAGCACGGTGACTGTGACATTGCCTCGGTATTGGAGTAGATCGGCGGGAGTTCAAGATGAATGCAACACGCTGGAAAACTACCATGCACCGTGCCTTGCGAAAGTGAGTAAACACCAGCAGCAGCAGCAGCAGCAGCAGCAGCAGCAGCAGCAGCAGCAGGATGAGGTTTGGTAGTAAATTGGTACATGTACAGGCCACAAGTTGAGTACTTACAGTTCCATGATAAGGTAGAGATGTGTTTTTGAATCAATGATTTCAAACAGTTGGATGATGTTCGGATGCTTTATCCTGTCAGAAGAGACATAATGCAATGGCAGAAAGGCTATGAGCAGATGCAGACGAAGTTCATGGGAATCCTACCTCTTCCACACAGGCCAAGAACTCTCTTCTCAGTTGAGTTTGGTGCTGCCATTGGGCATATCTCTGCACTACATGCCTACATGTCCACACTTGTATTGTATGAACGGTATTCAATGATACATCATGTGTACGCGTATACAAGCTGATCACAGTACAATCAGGTACTCTTACTGTTTGAGAATGGTGATCTCACTGTCCAGACTGTCTAACTTGCCGTCCAGTAGCTTCTTATCGATGCATTTTATCGCAAACTCCTCCTTCGTTTCTCTGTTCTTAGCGAACAACACCTCTGAGAATGCACCACTGTACACATGGGAGACGGGCAGAAACCACAAGCACATCAAAGTGTAATGATAATAGTTGTGAAGTTGGATAACCAAAATGTGCCAAGCTGTATTCGATGGTTTCCGTGTAAATCTCCAGCCATGCCAAGGGAATTGGACAACAGAGGACCTGATTAGCGAGGCAAGTGCATGTACAACAGGATGGGCTAGTACTAGTATATTAGAGACTCTACCAACCGGTTTATGGTTGTAGTCAGGAGCACTGTTTCCCATACAGTAAGTCCTCGCCTTGTTCACGCTGTCACCGTGAAAACATATTACCTATCCGGCAAGGCTTGCATTATTTATATACCATACTAGTATATCAGTATGCCATGTACTATGGGGCATGCTGTGTGGTTGCATGTCAGCAAGAGAGGATCTATCGTGTGTGTGCTCTACTATACTACCTCCCCACTTGTTTTGTAGGTGCTGGTATCAGTAGTCGAGGACCAATACTGACAGTTGCCTGCGCCTCCTAGTACGTGTCAAGATTCTGATCACTTTCTATGACTTAGCCACCCACTACTGCACGTGGTGGGATTTCTTGCTAGCCACGATGGTGATAAATAAATGAATTTAAAAGCTGGATTTGAAGCCTGTGCTGAAAAACAAGAGTGGGGCAGAAGATGGATATAGCATCCATGGACTGATCTACTTCAAAGCAGTGACTTTTGCAAAGCTGTGAAAAGCTATAATGAGGAAGAAAACATACTCTGCAACAATAATGCCAATTTCCAGTAACTACTCCTTGACAAAGCGCTTTACAACACGGAAGGCCGAAACAAGGCAAAGCAAAAAACAACGAATGGCGCCCTAAAAACGGTCCGCACTACCAAAATATGCTGTGGATCATCTCCAGTCTAATGCCTGCATGTGGTTCCCAAGAAGAGAGAGACTTGATAGTGACACCATTCATGCCAAGACATGTCAAAATCGGCCGAAAGTGACACCTGATTCCTAGGTACCACCGTACTGAGTGTTGTTGTGTACTTGACAAGTAGTGGATATGTACGCATGCACACTGCACACTGCACGCTGCACGCTCAGCGTGGAGACAACATGAACAAAAAAACTTTCCCAGGCAGGCATGCATCGCACGCACTGGACTAGGGAGTCTCAGAGCTGTATTTGCCCAAAGTCGAGGGCCCGACGTGGGAGCTGCTCGGAACCATCTGGAACATGCCAATTAACTACAGTCGACTTCGCTAATATCGACTGCGGATATAACGACAATTCGCGAATAACGACAGAATTTCCATGCCCAGAGCAAAGTCCCATCCAACTGTAATACATTAAAATGAGACTTCGGGTATAAAGACACTTCGCGAATAAGGACACTTTTCTGATGCCCCGCCGAGTGCCGTTATAAGCGAAGTTGACTGTAAATAGGATGAATAGAATCGACACACAACTGAGACAATCTGTTCTAACACGGCTTGCATTTTGCAACGACTGTGAATCCGGACTGGCCCGATGGCCTCTTTCCGGTGATTATGACCGTGAGGGCGCTTTCAATGAAACCCCACCAACCTTGATCGAGAACTATGTACGATCGTAGAATAACATAACTATACATGACAATCGTCGTACGGTACATACATGGTTGTATTTCAAAGATATCTGGAAACTTTGGCTATAGTCCCTACACTGCCCGCAATTATCCAAGGCAACAGTAGAGGGACGGCTTCAGTGATATCTGACATCGTTGCATCCAGTAACACGACAATCGCTGGGCACATAAAGCAACAAAGGCTGCGTAGATCTATGTGGCGTCAACACTAAGTCTTGTACAGCATGGGCCGTTTAGATAGTAGACTTGGACAGCATGGGTTTAGATTGTAGATCTACGACGAACGATACAACCCACGATGATTATGATTGTGTGTGAATGGCTAATGGAACAGGACACACCGCCCGGCTTCAAACCGCACTCGTGTGTTGCAGCTGAAACCAATTGATTGTGTCACAAAACAAACCAGGCTGGACTTACGTTCCCAGAACTTTGCCAAGGTCATACTTCTTGATCAGTTTGATGTCGTACTTTGGCATGGTGAATGGTCGGTAGTCCGCGCTTCGCCGTAGACTGGGTTGTGTGGCGCCACGTTCCTCGTGGGATAGTGTGTATAGGTGGAGAGGAAGGTCACCTCCAGCAGCGCAGCAAGCGCCAGTACCAATGGTACTAAGATCACAACTGCTTTCGCCAATTCAGCAGAAATTTTCCAAGCTTGTAGCACTGTGCCGGTGAAGCTCGCAACGATTCCCCGGATCTAACTGGGTCTTTAGTGGACTTGTTGAACTGTTACCGCAGTCGTTGATGGCAACAGAGGCAGAGAGAAAGAGAGCAATCGGATACCCGTCGGTTAGCTCCACTACTGCTAACGTTCACAATTCACCAGAGAGAAGTGCTAGTGTGTGTACCAACCATTGATAACAGTTACTGATATGACCTCAAGAAAAGAGCACCGTTTTGCCCACTGCTTTGGCAACCTACCTAACACTCGTGTCAGTGTTGTTACAAAGCAGTCATGTACAAAAGTAGGCCACTCCAACACTGGCAACAATGTTACAGATCGGTACTGAGTATGCGCAGACAACAACGCGATTGCAGAACTCTTGCCACCGAAGTCATCCGAATCTGTCACAGTGTCAGCCAGGGTGAGAGCTAAAGTCGTCTTGAAGTTGAAATGTCTTTCTTCGCAATGTTCATCGTGGCTCACGAGGTTCGATCGTCAGTTCGTTTCGTGACTCTTTGGCAGTTTTCATCACGCGGTCACTCCATGGCCATACTATGGACTACTACTACCGTACTACTGGTACTGAGTCTGTGCTGCCCATTGGTGTACATGTAACATGGTAGTCATCACTCGATGTCGTCATTATTTTCCATAATCATGGAGACCGACGCGAATGAGTCTGTACTGACTGTAGCGGAGCACGCGAGAACGGCATAGACCGTGATAGTATTTCATGGTATTAGGGGAATAAGAACCATGAGAACAGCAGCGGCACACTAGCATAGACTGTCAGTCTGGTATGTTCTAGTCCAGTTTGAATACATACATGTAGTACTGCTAGTAGTAGTAGTAGTAGGCGGTAGGTCTATGTTACGCTATGTTACGACTATGTTGGCCAGCCCTCCTCGCGAGACAGGAGACAGTTGTCGAAAGGCTCCGTGCAACAGCCTGCTGTCACTGTGTCGCTATTTTGGTCATGCCGAGCCAGCTGCACTGGCATGGTCGTGATCATTGATGGCTGAGTGTTATGGAGAGTCGGATCGGGCGGATGGGAACGGTCGACTCTCTCCAGTCCTGTAACTGTTCAGCCAAGCCCCAACCGTGGACACTGCACCCTGCAGCAGTCATGTAGCATGGCCGGGCGTGCAGTGACAGGCCGGGGCACTATCGCCGCTTTCTACACCTTCGAACCATACTAGTCTGCCAATAACCCGCCAGTAGTCCGGCAGCAGTCAACAATACAATCATACACCAGTACATGTATTGCAAGTATTGGATAAACCTCGTTTTGTTGAAACACTACACTCTACACTAGTAACAGTGTTGCAGGGTGTCAGTCTCTGGATAGGAAGTGTGATGCAAAGAGCTCCGACTGTGGTCACCTCTACCCCAATGGCCTATGACCCACGGAGTAAGTAAGTAGGGAGTGGAGTCAGCGTTGAGAAATGACACTTGACAAGTACCCGTCCACTTCAGTTCAGTCTTCATCTCAGCACCTCTCCTACTCTGTCTGCTTGTCATGTTGAGCGTCTGAACACTGCCTGGCTTGTGTTGTTGTATGAAGCATGAGGTGGTGGAGTGCTACCACATGTTCAGCTCACGCCAACACTGCCAACAACCAACACATCCTTAGGGGACCTACATGTACATTAGCTTCCTGACAGAATATGTATGCCGGAAGCTACGAGACTGGACCTCCGGGTAACAAAGCGATGGCGCATTTCACCAGGTATGGGCTCTGCGTCTCATTTTCACTCTTATCTGATCCAGGTATGCAGGTGCAGGGCAAGAGGAGGTCAAGTTTAGTTAGCTGATTAGCTGAGACATTTCGCTGGTACTGACTCTGTCAAATCCCACTGCATGGACATTGGCCCTGCACGTCACCGATCATGTGATCATTTCCCAGGAAAACCTCCTTCCTTGTCATATTTCCAGTGTAAATGTTGTAATAGTGATGTATACGGTAATAGAATCCTGACAAGCCATGTTCATGGTGACGCTAGTTCTGCTCCTCTGAACCGTCGACCGCGTGGCAGACAATTGCGTATAAGAATGACAGCACTAGCTACTAGCTACTAGTACATTGTACATTGTACACTGTAGATCTCAGCTTCTCAGTAACTAACCAAGAAACGGCAAAGCTGTTCGTACTAGGCTATAATTATAATACATGACATTGTATGTCCGACCAGCATACCAGCACAAGTCTTGAAGAGAGCAAATAGAAGGCCAAGAAAGACGCTTTCATAAGACAGGTATGATGTCAACATTACGTCATTAGGCTCATAGAGTCATACTCACCGTCTACTATTACTAACTACATGTACGCCTGATCAGCTGAAAGACCAAGTACCGGTACATAACACAGAACACCCTACATCATCACCAAAGGAAGTGGTCTCTTTGCTGCAAATTCAATAATCACCACCGAATTTTCGGCCATGAGCAATCATCAGGATTGAGGAGAAACCAGTGAGGTGGACCTATATCAAACAACACAGAGTGGAATGAAACTATGCCATACGCGATAAGTTACACCATCATTGAGTCACAGGCACAAACATATACACAAACACTCACACACAGAGGTGTTTTTAAGGTGGCAGTCTGGGTTCGCGGCCCGACCGCATGAACACAGCCGTAACTTCCATAATAATTGATGAATTTTGCTCAAATCTTGACCACATACCCAGTGTATTTCACTAAGTCCAATGAAGTATAAATCAAGCTCACACATGGGAATCCGCAGACACAATAGTCAAATCTGCGATTATGCCGTACCACCAATACCTTAGACGCAATATGCAAACGCAGAAAGAAGCTGGGTAGAAACTGAGTGCTCCACAGGATTTCCTTCACATATACCTAGGTGCTAAGTGGAGCGGAATTTTGAAATCATATTCAGAACAAAGTACTCAAGCTGTCAAACAAAAATCATGCAATCGCGCAAAATTTAGGTCCTCGATCAGTAGCACTTTACTCAAAGCTACTAGACAAATATAAAAATCCATGACACTTAGCACCTTGATAAATGCTCACAGTTTCCAAAAATGTATGGTTTATGGGGTCTGTGACTTACAGGTTCTTCACTACGCTGTCTAAGAGGTACGGGACTCAGTGGAAAATGGAGAAAAAAAGTGCTCTGTGCAAGTACAGATGGAGGTATGTCTGTCCAACTAGAACTTACTAGAACTTAGTCGAAGCCACCAGCTTCATATGTCAAACCTTCTTCCTCTTGCTGCTCATCCTGGATGCCCTTCCTGACCCTCCTTCGCTTCTTTCGTGACCTCTTCCCTTCTTCTGACTTCTTTCTGGCAGCATGTGCCTGTCTCTCACGGTCTAGCAGCTTGATGAGACGTGTCGTATGGTGTCCAGTAGGGAGGCCCATCTCGTCCAGAACGCGTTTCACTGCCACACCTCCATCATTGAACCAGGCCACGGCCAGGTAGACGCACATCTGGACAGTGGGAGCGGATGCAAAGCCTGTCTTTGGACACAACTGCCACACGAGTCCATTGAACGCTTCGTTGCGATTCTGCGTAGCACCCTTCTGGCAGCGCTCGAGCAAACTCCGGTCGGACAACCGAATGTAGACCGGCTTCAGTTCCTTCCATACTGCCTCTGGCAGGATATTGTGGTGGGCGTAGACATCACCACCTGCCTGTTGCTGCTGCCATCTACACCAGCTGTTAATTCCAGGCGGACAATACTGGTGCTGAGGTTTACTGTCGCTGGATGCACGATGCATGAGGGATGCCCATATGGCCCTGGCCATGGCTTGCAAGTCTCCGCTGTTGTTCCGCACAGCCATGCCATAGTAGGCTTGCAGCTTGTCGATCATGGCATCCGTGAGGCGACCACGTCCGCCTATAGTGCGCCCATCAGCAAGCTTCTTGCCCGCAAGGTTTTTCTTCAGCTTTCTTAGGCTGGTACCGATGCGTTTTTGAACGTGGCCGACACATTCCTCCTTGACTACAGGCACCTCGGGCCCATACGGACAAGCGTCACGCACAGCCTTAAAACTCTTGGTATCTCCATCACCAATGTAGGTGGTGTACCTCAGCTTGCGGCTCTCAAAGGACCTGGCCCACAGAGTCTTGGCGGCTGCACTCTCCATGGCAGGAGCTGATACAGTGGTGTTGACTGAGCAATCGTGTTCGGCAATCTGTCGATCATAGTCATCTTTGGTCAGCTCTCCCTTCTCTTTTCTAGACGCCAAGTGCGTGCACTTGTGGCAAAACTTTGAAAGCACTTCGCAGTCCACCACTTTGCCGACATCATATGCAATTATAGTGAAGGCTCCGAAGAGCGATGCGAATCCTCGGCGCATCCAGGTACCGTCATAGGAAGCAGCGATATCGCTACCCCCATCTGCTGCGGACACTGCTTTCTCAGCTGCCTCAGTCATGCTACGCTCAGCGACGCTCTTGGACGCGGAATGCAGGCCTTTAGCATGGCTGTAAAATGTCGACCGACTCATAGGTGATGGCATATTCAGTGCACCCGCCAGCTTTACCATTGATTGACGTCCACGGCCAATCAGTCGCATTCCGAATACTGCTCGTCTGTTCACCTCCCAGACCCGATTGAACTTCTTGGACATAAATTCGCTTGCTATGTCGCCGCAGTTAACACAGGAAAGCTCCAGGCATGATGCAAGGCCTCCCCGTTGCGATTCGCTGATCGTGACTGCGCCATTACAGCCACTGCAACAAACTGCAGCTGACAAAAGCTGCTGAAGGCACTCGAGATCAATCAGGCGAAATCCATGCGCCCCTTCCTCACACTCTTCATCCAAGTCACTGTCGGAGGAACTGCTGTCGACTTCACCGCCACTTCCATCACTATCGCTGCTTGAAGACGTGGCTTCAGCTGACACTTCAAGGTCGTCATCAGACAGTGGCAAGTCAGGAATTTGTTCTGCAGGCGAAATTTTACCAGAGGGAGCCTTCGGCGCCTGAGACACTCCATAGAACGTTCTTTTCCTTTTCTTAGATCGTCCGGGCTTTCCCTTGGCTCTAGACTTCCCCATAGTAGCCAACGAAGGGGTTAGCTCCAAGAAACAATTACTCCAAAACAATTACTCCAAAAGTTTCAACAGCACTCAGCAGTGCGATCAGCTGAGATCATGAGAGTCGAAATTTGAATTTTTTTGAATTTGCGCATGCGCAAAAGTTATCTTGGTTGCCATGGTGACAAACATCGTGCGCGGCTGTCAGTCTGCAGCGCAGAGGAGTACAAGGAGTCGCTCCAGAAAATTTTAATGAAATCGCTCAAAGATTGACGGTAAAAATCGGAATAGTGTGCAAACCTAAATTTTGTAGAAATTTGCTGATATTTCAGTATTTCAAAAACAATTGTGCAGACTTTGCGCGGCTATATCTCCGGAAGGAAGCACCCGATTACGCTCAAATTTTCAGGATAAACCCTTTGGACCATACACAAGACGCTGCCAGTGAAAAAATACAGAAAATCGAAACTTTGTTTTTTGACCCTCTGAACCCAGACTGCCACCTTAAAAGGAGCCAAATTACCGTTCCTGGAAACGAGGTATGAGGAGGAGTGGTGGGACTATGACAGAGAAGATGATGAGATTCTGTCAACTACATGTACGCTATGCATAATGCTGAACAGTATAACAATGGAGTGAACAAGCACGCCATGACACCAGGTTACAGAATAGAACAGGGTAACGTAGTCATCATCCAAGGAATTTCAACTACATGCACATATTATTATTATTATTATTATTATTAAAAGCATGTCCGCGTAGGCGGCGGGGGTGCCACTTTCGCTTATGCCATTCAGGATTGATGTCTGAAGAGTAATACGATACAATGAAATGACAGAAGTGCACATGTAATTAATTATTTGTTTACCCATCATTGATCAAGTACAATCATGTTCATGTAGTGGCAAGTTCAGGTCATAGATTCTGTATACTCAGTGGAGGAATATCAGGGTATTCGTGCGGACCTGGGCTTGTCACGAGAATACACATCTGCACTCCGATCCGGAGCTGTCCTGCCTTCACGATAAACACAATGGAAAGCGCATACTGTGGCCTGGATCAGAAGCACATACAATGCACATGTATGTAGGGCCCAATGACAATGTACATGGAATACCCTCCGGGGAGGGAGATATTTTACTCGAGCATCCATACATAAACTAATATGGACGAAACAGCATGCTGTCAGTGTCCGCAGATTGAGTAAACTAATACCAGTACAATACACCAATACAATGTCAATGTACATGTACTGCAATCAATTACAAGTACAAGAACTAATAATAGTAATATTACTTCCTGATTCCATCCATCAACTATTATATATACTAACGTTACTTTGAACGTAGGACAGCATGGGATTCTAGAACTGGCACCTGACAGTGTACGTACATGATGGTCATGGTACAATCGCCATGCTTGTCACTGATGAAGGTTGGGTCGTACATGTACTTGCTCACTGACTTCCACTCTTATCGTCCGGGTGACGGTAGTGTCTTCTGAGCTGCGATCCGGGGATCCGGGGCCGAGACTTCTTTTTAAAGTCACTTACCTGGTATCTGGCAACTGCATGCACTATGACTTTCATTGTTGTTCCAACTGTAACCCAAGCATTAGCACTGCAGGATAAGTTAATATTGTACATGGGTATGGAACTGAGGAATAAGAAGCGGAGAACTCAATTATCGCCGAAGTCGCTGCCTCTCCATTCGTCACTGAGCGTATAGTACAATAATTGTTTGTGGTACGCAGGAATAAACTCAGTCACCACAATTAGTATGACCAAGAGTTTATGTTCCCTTCTTTACTCTTGGTATCACCAGTATCACCAACGTACATCACGAAAATTAATTATATTACATTGTAATTTGGGAATTCGCGTCTCTCACCTTTCCACAGGTAATTCCCAAGATAGGAGGCCCTGTGTTCACACCTGTACCGTGTCCGCAACAATTACAAGCAAACCACCGGGTAAGACTTCGTCCATCACTTGGCGTCAGTTGTAACTGCGGCATCCATCCCCACGTCGTCCCCACGTAACCTTAGAATCATGTGGAGTCTATATGACTGATTGTAGATCTACTAAACTGTCTGAAGTAACTGTTAGTTGCTTGTATTGAACTACGTTGTAATGACATTGTATTCTGAACTCTGCACGTCTGGTTGTAGGTCTGTGTGCATGTTGTAGCGCTAGCGTCCGGCCATAAGCATTGTAGCGACCGCAAAGTACCAGTGTGTACATAATGCGCTGTTATCGTGTCGTAACGCTTTGCTACCAAACTCCCCTATTGCAGTACTAGGCCCGACCCAGGGAGCTCTCCACCCCGATCGACCGATCCAATCTAGGACTAGACTAGGTAAGCCTTGGCTCTTCGGTCTTCCAAAATAAGGCCACAATCAATGAATTCGCGATTCACTGTCTCTGTTTCAGTGTTTGACCCGAGCTGTCAATATCATCTCTACTCAGCATAATAAGTATTATCTGCAGCCTGCTAGCCATGACAACAGACAGACTAAACCCGATCCGACAAACACTTGCACTTGTTGAAAGACATTCAAAAATAGAACGGCAGCATTTTTGAGGTTTTATTTTCGGATGTAGCAGGCTATCTGCACGTACCTTATAGGTACATAATTGACAGTGGACTAGTGACCCAGGCCAGGGATTAGGATTGCGATAGAGCCGACTGAGTTCCTGCTGCTTCTGCTAGCTGCTGTGGTTTATTCAGCAACGCTACTTCTGACATTGAGTGAGACTTCACCAACACATGCGCTAGTGAGTAGTGTTCATTCCGTGGATTTTCAAGTTTGTTTTGCTGCCGGGCTAGGAGTAGATCTACGAGCAGGTACATAATCATTGATTGTTCATGAGTCATGACGCTTTGGGCACAATTCATCCACGGTGTCTTTATGTTTGGATCCTTTGGCATTATACATGTAGACTTGCAACCAACAGTATACGCATTGAACTATTTGAAGTCATTTGTCTACATGACATTGTATCATGTGATTTTTTAGTCAGTTGAGTCCTTTGGTAATGCGTGTGTGAAAATTAATTAGTGACACACCTAGGTCCTGGCGAGAGAAATCCGACCTCATGAATATAATACTGGTAGAGCCAAGAGCTACGCGACCCTAGCACCACACACACACACCCCACTCGGTTCATGCACTTGAGGGTGGTGCTACTTTATTCATGAGGTCGGATTTCTCTGGCCCGAGCTAGCTGTACATGCATTGCATCAAGAGTACTAAGCCAGTAGGGTACTCATCATCGCATTGCAAATGTTACTGTTGCCAGGGCGATGGCAATATATCTTCCTGGACTCGCATTCATTGTACACCGTCACTATTCACCGAGCTCTGTGTTCTTTTGGCACTGAGTCGAATGGTCATGGTCTGAGTAGGCCACACTGATGCTCCATTCGTCACATAACCCCCACCCCTGAACGAACCTGTTGCCAATATCATACCTTGATCTGAACTACAGACAATCAGTGTTGCATACATAATGTAGACATGGACCACCGTGAAGCGCCCAGTGCGTTTTTGGTGCTTATAAACAACTTTGGAGTGTGTTCGCAGAGGTGTAGCGAAGATCCACTTTCCCAAATCGGCCATTTATTTTGGCCTATTCGGCTTTTCGATCGGCTGAAAAAATCGCCCGAGAATCGGCTGAAAATTTCTGTAAAAGGTGGAAATTCGGCTCTAAAGTCGCAGCCACCTGTCACAGATAATGGTTACAGAAATTGTATTTGCATGCTGCAATGGCTACCTCTCAGATCGGACACAGTATGTCAAAGTCGGTCAGGTACAGAGCTCACCATACACCAGCTTCTCCGGAGTACCACAGGGGTCAGTTCTCGGGCCCCTGCTGTTTGTTCTCTACGTCCGTGACATTGCGAAAGAGCTGTCCCCTTACAACGTTGCGACCCTGCAATTTGCGGACGATATCTCAATTAGATCCAGCAGAATGAGCACGGATGAGGTGTCCCAAAATCTCTCAAGTGCTGTCCAGCACCTCGCCGATTGGCTTAGGAACCGCGGTCTCATCTTGAATGAAACGAAGACACAGATCATGTCGATATCGCCAGTACGATCTCAAACATTTGACTTGCAAGTGCAATGTAATGGACTGCCTCTGCCAACTGTTCGCTCTGCGAAATATTTAGGTCTCCACTTTGATGCGGACATGAGCTGGAACATCATGGTCGACCACGTCGCACGGGGCGTCGCGTCGAAAGTTGGCGTGCTCATACGATGCACTACATTCCTGCCTTTTCAATGTCGCATAGCCTATTTTCGTTCTTTCATTTTATCACACTTTATGTATGCCGCTTCTGCTTACTTACCATTTCTCACGGCGTATCAAAGTCGACGGCTTAATGGGCCCTTCAAGCGTGCTGTACGCACAGTCTGTCGGGTACCTCCCGGGACACCCACAAGCAATATTCTTACACGCATGAATATCCAAACATTGACCACATACGCCAACATGCACCTTCTGGTTTTTATCTGGCGTTGTCTCCATGACTCCTCTAACATCAGCATGTTGTTCGCTAACCTTTTCAGCCGCAGTAATTCCACTCAAACTCGTGGTGGGCACAGCAATTTACTGATTGTCCCAGCCAGCGCAACTGCATATCTTGCCAAACGTGTTACCTATGCTGGGACCATCTTATGGAACCAGCTCCCCGCTGCAGTCAGGCAAGAAAGAAAACGCAATCGCTTTAAGTCAATGGCTCTTGCCTTTTTGCTTACCAGATAAATAAGCCTTTTTACAAATGCTGTATGCACTGCTCTTTACGTTATTTTCTCCCTATGCAAGTCGCAACTCCTCTTTTGAGGTGTTTTTCTTCTCTCTTTTTCTTTCCCTACTAGTTGCTGTTACACTCACTGATCCTTATGCACAGATATACAGCATTCCCTCACTAGTGGGACCATTGTTATTAGGCTAGGGCCTGTTTTGGACTTCCCACTCTAAATAAAGAATACATACATACATACATACATACCTACATATTGAGGCACTAAAACATCAATTTTCGGCGAATTCAGTGCGAAAATTGCGTATTCGGCTCAAAGAGCGGTGATTTCTTCAAAACCACTATTTTCGGCCAATGTTTCGGCCGGCCGATTTGGGAAATGCCCACGGGCCGTGACGCAGGCGCGCACGAGCGGTCATACCCAGTTGCCTACGACCCTGTAAAACATGTATATTCGGCGATTTCTTGGTAAAATCTCAGAATTCGGCCAAAAGATCGGCGATTTTCTGAAAAGGCTACTTTTCGGCGAATTTTTCGGGCGGCCGATTTGGGAAAGGCCTACTGCACAGGATTGCTGCTCCATGGCATGATAGGAGTACAGTCAGTGGAGCCGAACCAGACAGGCAGTACTGAACTGTCAGGGCTTGCATCGGTCGTGTAACGTTATGACCAGGGAGTAGTAAAATGTTACTACTCCCTGGTAATGACCAAGCAACCCCACCATCAATATCCAGCTTTCCATGGGATTGTGAGGGATGGGGCAGGGGAAGATACGGGTCCGGGTACGAATCACGGTACCATCAAAATGCATTGATGTGCTGCAACACAGTGGACAGAGATGAGAGCCAAGCCAGTTGTATAGTGACCGCGAATGGGTTTCACAAAACCGTTTTGTACTTGTCCTGACGATACCATCCTCTATGGTTAAGCCACGTATTGCAAGTCAATACACCATCTCGACTTGTAGTTGAAAATTACCATCTTCAAAAACTAGTAACAAGGAGCATGGCCCGGGATTGATTTGTTCGATCATTGATGTTGCTCTACTAACGAAAACTGGCATAGTTTTAAATTGCCGATTGCACTGTTCCTTGTAGGTAGAATGCTGTCGATGGCAATGCAGCGGATGGTGTTGATATGTGTTCCAATGGGACTACTGCTGGGCAGTGCGCTGGTCTGTGGGATGGGTGATGACAATCGACCTAATATCATCTTTCTCCTGACAGGTCAGTAGTGTTTGCACAGCATTGCAAATCTCTCCGTACAGTGTTCCGTTTCTCATGGTATTGCAGTGTTCAGTGCATACTGCCGTACTGTCTTGGTGCTACATCCCAGACTAGGTCCAACATGAATACTGCACTGTGCAGTGTGTGTAGCACATTGATTGGGTTCATGCAAAAGTACAACGGCAGTGCCGTGTCAGGTCAAAGACAGCTGATCATTTTGTCAATGTTTGTATTAGTGCCGATTCTTAGCTTATTGACTGCAGAAACAAAATTGGGCAGTACAGTACCGTATTCGGGGTTGAAGGTTTGTTTACGTCCAACTAGCTCCCGCTGCCATGACCCCAGCATAAAGTAATAAAGCCTGTTGTACCCTGGCATCATGGACATGCATAGTGCCTAGAACCCTGCTCAGGAGTTCATGCACCCGTGTTGGTACTGATCTCAGTGTTGTGATGATGTGTAGATGATCAAGATGTCACTGCTGGCTCTCTCGACTACATGCCACGTCTGAATCAGATACTGCGCAGGGAGGGTACAGAGTTCCTGAACTACTTTGTTTCAACCGGACTCTGCTGTCCCAGGTAAGACCGCAGTACTACCTGATTGCAGCAAACGCAAATACTTAGCTCTGGGGCTTAATTTTTTTACACAGATCATGATGTTATTTATTATTATTATTTGACAGTGGATTGTTCAAATTGGCGGAACATACAGATAGTGTATAGTCCTGTTGAAACGTACACGCATACTGCATAGTACTGTTACATACCAAAGACAGGGAGGGGATGGGGGGGGGGGGGGGGGGGGGGGGGGCAGGTGGTGGCACACCACACCAATCTGGACTCATTTTTGCATGAATCCATCCTGTAGGGAAGGCCCCAGGGGCTCCTCGCCTCGCGTAACCACTTGTAGTGCTGTGCTGGAGCCTGAAGTCTGAGTTATCAACTTATCACCTCAATATTCAATGTTCAATATTCAATATTCAGTACTCAATATTCAATATTCAGTGTGCTTAGATATCATGTCCACATTGCCCCCAACACATTACACATACTCCCCCCTAGTGATGATAGCACTTCAGGCGTGACCTGGAAGCGTGCAATTGTGCAACCTCTGTTCTTGGTTTTCCACGTCACAAAAAGAGTGCTAACTAGAACTTCTAGTCATTCATTAAGTTAGTCATAGCAATCAAGAGTACAATCCTCGCCGACTCGCGGCTTTTCATTCATTTGTCCATTACTTTTCTGTTGAGGTCTGTACGATCGAAGTCGCTGCAGGAAGGAATCAATATCTACAGTAACTTGGCATTGTGTTGCTGGTGCTGTGAATGAGCCTCCGCGGTGGCTGGGGTGTGCCTGCAGTGATACGGAATTTGGAAGTGTTATTTTGAATCGAAAGCTGCTGCTTATATTTCAGATGCCAAAGTGTCGCCACAGTACTGTAGTGGTATGCTATGGTCATTGGTGCGTTCTGCTATACAGCCGTGCAACTATCATGAAAGGACAGTTCTGTCACAACACAAAGATATTCGATAACGGGGACCTGAACAATAAAACGGACTTAAGGTGAGTCACAAATTGCGTTGAAATTTCAGTACAACGTGTACCTCCAGTGGACGGAAATTCAGTGCTCTAGAGCACATGGTTGCAATAGGCTGTGCGATGCCTGGTAGAAATGATATCCAGGGCGTAGGAAGCTGTGTACGATTTTTCTTTCAATTTCAAATCGGTCACCTGCACAATGCACAATGCACGGTTACCACATCCCATTTGACAAACACTTTGCGTTGTTGACCCAGTGTGACCGGGCTTGCTGTCGTGCCACATGCATGTAGACTAGAGTATGTATACGGTTAACTAAGTGTCCATGTGTACGCTTCATCTCTGCAGCGGTGGATTTGTAAAATATCTTGCACTGGGTTTAATGAACGAGTCAACCGTGGGCAACATCTTGCAAGCGGCAGGCTATGAAACGAAGCTGTGTGGCAAGTATCTGAATGGATACGATGACGGACAAGCAAGCATTGTGCCGCCAGGTAACTGAGCGTGTCGCGTGATGATGATGATGATGATGATGATGATGATGATGATGATGATGATGATGATGATGATGGTAGATGGTTGCTTGGGTAGAGATACTTCGAAGTACATGGTGTTGTAGTGGCATGTAGTTGCTATTTTCCCATCATGTCATCATTCTGATCATTGCCAGAGAGATGTGTATTGCAGACCATGCTTTGTGACCATTAGTGATCCGCCGACGGCACTTCCTACCGTCTTCTAGTAGCAGCAGCAACACTGCGTAACACGGAGAGCTATTCCAGGTGGATGCTGTGCTGCTGACAATGGCAATACCCGCCGCTTAGCAGAAAGGCTAAGAGGAATAGCACGCTCTTCATTTTCAACAAACTGCTTGTACCGGGAAATAAGTTTAGTTCCCAGTTAGTGGCGTTGTACCTGTATGTTGTGCTCATTGTCAATGCCGGAGATGGCCGTGTTGTCTTCCTGTGTGGGGACGTTCCCCTAGCTGTCTTACCGGTACCCATGCGTATGCCACGGTGACCTGAGACAGAATGACAGTGATTTCTTCCCCGGGTGTATTCAAGCTGCAGTGCATGATGAAGGTGATACCACTCTGAGTTCCGCCGTTCATGATTGTACAGTGTATCATGGTGTATGGCTGTTTAAACAATCAACTATACATGTGCATCATTCCTTCAGGTTGGGATCACTGGCAGGGAATGACAAAGACGGCGTACTATGGTCCACACTTCTCTATCAATGGTCAGTACAAAATATGGAGCGAAATGCGAAGCGACTGTTTTAGACATTGAAATTCGATGGAATGACCGGGGCCAGTGGCCAGTGGCTGTTTTGCCTTAGCACATACACTCACTGTAGTTCACGTACACTGCAAAAATGGACCAGCAATGCTCACGGCCGCAAGGCCAGCGACCCGTGGCTGCTTGACTTCTGAACAGATTTCAATGTCCACAACACTACCTGTGGCTATGCAAGTCTGAACAACAACGTTGGGTCTCATCTCCCCCCCCCCCCCCCCCTCATTCCAATACTCTACAGTCATGATCGTGGTTGACGTGATTGACGTGCATGGGAGACCAGCTTGGTTGCATGCAACATGCTTGAAATGTGGATGTCCTGGAAGAAGATAGAAAGTAATCAGAATTTGGTGACATACAATGCATAATATCAAGAGTACATAAACCAGAGTGTGCAACACGGGATGGTTCCTGTGGGAGCGTAATTCGTGCACTACGTCATTTCTGACGGCATGGTAAGCCACAGGTACGGTGAAAAGTTGCATCACCAGTCGCGGTGGTGCAGTTCACTGAGTTTGTCCTGATTTCGGTTTTTTGAGACGGATAGCCTGGTGACTTTACTTGTCGGTGGATGTACGCAGCGTATACAGTCACACAAAACACCGAAATCCTGAAACAGGACGTCTAAAATCAAGCAAACTTGGCTGATTTCCGGGCTATAAAACATGAAAATTTGAGCTGTACGCAAGTCCTGGCTTGGCTGACCTCATCAGGGTGACGTAGTGCACGAACTGCGCTGTTTCAGATCAGATATGCACAGTTGCACACTCTGGTTTATGTACTCTTGATAATATACAGTTGTTCTCACTTTCTCTACCGCTATGTTCAAGACGCCAAAAGTTTAGGGTGCCAGTCACAGTTTAAAATTTAAATGAATTTGTACTGTAACTTTCTTGTCCTATGTATTTGCATTCAACGTGTTTGTCCGAATGTTGCAGGAAAACTGAAGAAGATGAATAACTCTGTGTATCAGACTGACTATATCCGTGATATTGCAATCGAGTTCATACAGCGGAAGAGGGACAAGCCTTTCTTCATGTACTTGTCGCCTTTTGCACCACACGCCCCAGCCACTGTGAGTTCTAGAGATGCTAAAGTAGATGCATTCAACCACTGTGGTGTAGTGTAGATGCATTGCACCGGAAAAGCGGATCTCTCCACACCGTGAGACACAATCAGAAGTACTGCTGAGTGCCTACATTGTAGTCACGAACGGCGGATTTGTTTGTAGTCCCGGTTGTACAATACTGTTGCCGCCCAAATCAACGAGATTGAAGTGAACGAAGCATTGACATGCTGCTCCTGTTTAAGAGTGGACCGTGGCTTTCACTGTCACATGGAGAGTTCCATCATTAGAATTTGATATACAGCAGTGCATGGTACACTACTGTGACAGTACTGCACCGGGTGTACGCCACCTAGCTTGCCAGTCAGTTATTGCGTCTGCTGCATTTGTTGCCTCCATACTCCACATTGCCATGCACAGTACTGCACCGGGTGTACGCCACCTAGCTTGCCAGTCAGTTATTGCGTCTGCTGCATTTGTTGCCTCCATACTCCACATTGCCATGTTGCTTGCTATGCTTGATGCTCTCAATGCTGTAGCCGGCTAAACGCCACGCACACATGTTCAACGATTCCATGGTAAGAACTGCTAAGAATGGATACACTGTATTTTTGAATATATGTTGGACTCAGTAGAGCGTCCAGCCCCTATATGATGTCCAACCCCTATATAGAGTCCATTGGTCCAAAATCCACTGTACAGAGTCCAAACTTGGAATCAACTGTGAGCTCAAAGTTTCGATGGACATCACTCCCTGTATAGAGTCCAGCCAATTGGCTTCACCCCTATATAGAGTCCATTGGTCCAAAATCAACTGTACGGAGTCCAAACTTTGAAATCAACTATAAAGAGTCTTTATGTGGACAACACCCCCTGTATAAAGTCCAGCCAATTAGGCATCCCCTATCGAGTTCGAAAATAGACATAGGATCTGCTGTAAGCAGTGAATATTAACCAGAAAACGGCCTCTCCCTTTAATCCTTTACATCATTCACTTCTCAAGATAAAAAAATATGTATTGAGGCGCCACTGCAGCCACGTCATTACATGAAAAACCCTACAAACACCATCCTCAAATCAAGTGGTCTCTTCGCAGACGCTGCAAATTACAATATCTCAATCATGTAGTGTTGCCAAATTATTGTGCACGTACACACACATGCACACACCCACACAACGCCAAGAAAATACCTAGAAAAAAACCAAGAATCGAAAGAGAATAATGGAGAGCCCAGGATTAATTATTTGTTTTCAAATTATTGTGCGCGCGCGCGCGCGCGCACACACACACACACACACACACACACACACACACACACACACTTATACAACGCCAAGAAAACACCAAGAAAAGAGTAGAGACACAATACACACGCAACTCCAACAGCCATGCAAACGTCCACCCATTTACATGTAAAGTCAAGAGGGATAACAAATAATTATACGAAACGAATGCATACGGGGACGGGTACACGCACGTTTACATACACGTAGTAGTGTAAGAGAGTAACATAGTGCAGTGGTCAGCATAATACTAGCACATGCTGAGAGTGCAATAGCAAGCTTCACCATTGCTCATGGCCATGCAAATGTTCAGCAGCACTCAGTTCCGCAAGCTTCTGAAGATCAGCACACCTGCAACAAATAGATAGCACAAGGATACGCTTATTACCGTAATGATGCATGGGAGCACACAACTACCAAGTTCTCAACGAATGTGATGCTCAATGAAAATCAATCCACTCAAAGACCTGTGAACAGGTGATGGTGGGTACAATAATCTTTTAGTAATACGAGGAATAAGATCGTTTGTGCACACTCAAGACGCACAGACACACCAACATACATGTAGTGTACACAGTGTTTCACTTCACTGCAACTAAATTGAAATGAGATGATTTGAACAATCTGTACAGCGTTGCTGTCAGTCAGTCTTCCCCAAGATGGAAATGCAATGATTTGTTGTCACGAGGCAGTTTCACTGACACAATGTCATGTTCGTGACATCAAAACGGTTACTTCAGGGAATACGAGTATTAGCTTGAGAAGCTTTTTCTTGTCATTGGCATACAAGCAATCCTCCTAGTCCTACTACTACTAGTACACTGGCACTGCGTTTGTGGATCCCATTGTATTCGACATCATACTACAGGAAGAGTGTCGTGGAGTTCACATAATTATCACAGGGATAAAAATACATTTCTCATGAAATAAAAATTGATGATAGCTAGACGATCATATACGATTGATGCAAAGTCCTTGCAGTCCTTGAGGACTATTACGAAGTGGTTGATTACTTTTAGGGCATTCATTCAAGCAACATCAAACAAACGCGATACGCTCCTTGAAAATGGAAAAAAATTCAAGCATAACGACAGAACAGCAGACCAATCGAAACGAGTAAAAGCTTCCTTACCTCATAGCTCAGTCATCGTCCTGCCATGTAGTTGTACAGCCTTTTGACACGGTGGTACAGGCAGCTCTTGTCCAGTCAAACAGGGGTATCCTTGTGGCGTCGAACGAAAGAGAGTGTCAGTGTATCTGACTCGTCAGATTGCAACTGTGCTGAACTTTTCTCTTTCTCCACTTTCTGCTTTCATCCCTCGCTCTGATGAAACCGTTCAAACGTCTTACTGGCAGCAATGGCCAGCCAAACAGGGGATCCTTGTGGCGTCGAACGAAAGAGAGCGTCAGTGTACCTGACTCGTCAGATTTGAACTGTGCTGAACTTTTCTCGTTCTGCAATTTCTGCTTTCATCCCGCGCACTGATGAAACGTCTTCAGAGAACCACAAGACGCTTTCCAGATTTGATTTTGAACGTCTCCTTATCCTCCTTGGTTAGCTCGAGACAGATTACTGTCAGCAACTGCACAGCAGAATTGGCAGCCATGGCTGAAGTGAAGAAAGGAATGCGCTGCCAAGCGTCAGTGTACCTGACTCGTCAGATTTGAACTGTGCTGAACTTTTCTCGTTCTGCAATTTCTGCTTTCATCCCGCGCACTGATGAAACGTCTTCAGAGAACCACAAGACGCTTTCCAGATTTGATTTTGAACGTCTCCCTATCCTCCTTGGCTAGCTCGAGACAGATTACTGTCAGCAACTGCACAGCAGAATTGGCAGCCATGGCTGAAGTGAAGAAAGGAATGCGCTGCCACGAGGCAAGCAAAACTGAATTTTTTTTTAAAATGTGTTCTCTTTCGGGGCACAACAGTGACAACACACAGGACGGCGTGACTGGATAAACTGGACTCCTGGACCGTGAATAGGGGACTTGTAGAAAAAGTGTACTCCTTATAGGGGATTGCGCGGCAGGATGAAGCTGATCAAAACTGAGTGGACTCCTGGACTCTGTATAGTGGATTTTGGACCAATGGACTCTATATAGGGTGCTGGACATCATATAGTGCATGGACTCTATACTGAGTCCTACATATAGGCTAGACTCTACAGATGGATTTGAAAATTCATTGCAGGAAACGAACCCTAACATCTCCTGCCGGTTGTAGGAAATCTTAGCAAGATGCTGGCCACTGGTTTCATATGGCGCCGGTTTGCACGGTTTCCATTGAAGTCCAGCTGTTTCATCCTCAGTGCTGCTTTCATAGAGCTGCAAACATCCAAAATGTCATCAAGAAACTTACATGTACTTGAGACCAAAAACTGAAAATGAAGTAATGTGTCAAGCCCCAGAGTTTCAGCCTGAGTCAAGCCCCAGAGTTTCAGCCCGGGCTGAGTGCTGCCGGTATCCATATGTGTTTACGCTTGTGACTGGCTAATCCACTCGTTCGGGTCCGGCTGGAGTTGTACATATAATTCTACAGAGTTGAAGTCAACTTTCAACCAACTAAGCAATTCTATGCAGACTTACACGATATAGCATGGCTTGCGTCCACAAAACAGCCTCTAGCTATAGTCAATCCCACCGTTTTTCACTGCGTGTGATGTGGTATGCTCACCATGATCTGTGTTCTACTTGCTCCTTCCCAGGCACCACGCTATGACTCGTTTAATCCGAACAACACCATCCAAAGCCAAAAGCCCTCTTGGCTGGGACGGCTACCTCCGCTCACACAGAAACAGATTGATGGTATAGATAACTTCTTCCGCAACCGACTTCGTTCACTTCAGGTACATATCACAGCGACTATGTCCTCCAAGCAGTTATTTTTGACATGAGAGAGTGGTATTTATGTATGTTAAAATTGCACCCTTCTCTCCTTCTCCACTTGGCAGCTGTTCGGAAAGCAGATCCGACTGGCTCGCTCCAGCCTCGTAAACTGCATCCAAGAAACCTAGCTATTGCATCCAAAACACTGTCTAGACATGTTTGAAGAGGGAGTGCATCCATGCATGCAATCACCAGACCTCAACAACACAGCACGTGCCCGGGTAGAGACTATATGCAAGGCTTGCAATGAACTGGACGGTATACAAAATGCTGATAGTAAAGTACCTGTAGCTCTATTCGGAGTTTATAATTGTGCCGCTGGACTGCTGCTTGCTTTCCTTTGTGCAGGCAGTGGATGAAATGCTGGGCAACATCACAGCCACTCTGGAGTCTGAGGGACTTCTCAACAACACCTATATATTCTACATGGTATGGTCAGAACAGTGATGATGAACCTTCTAACCCCATGCCATGTCTTATGTAGTGGTTAGGCTTGCATTCTTGTATGCTGTTCAGTCTACATTCTGCTGACACCAGTCTCAGTATGCTGTTCAGTCTACATTCTGCTGACACCAGTCTCAGGGCAGCTCTTACCAATTGTTTCTTACTTCATCGCCGTCGCCGTGCACAGGGTGACAATGGCCAACATCTCGGCGATTATCGGCTTCCAGGTGGCAAGCGGCAAGCTTACGATACGGATATCCGAGTGCCCTTCCTGGTAAGCCATGAGACATAATCCCTGCTCCGAGACTAGTAATGCTGGCTGGTCACTTTGATTAGTTTTGTAAGCATCATTTCAATCGATTCATTTGCAAACTCGACCCAGAGGTGAACAACTGACGGCCGCTATCTGAAAGTTACATGTATTGGCTTACATACTGAGCAAGTAGGGCACTTCATTGCTCTATGTCCTGAGCCAGCAAGTAGGGCACTTCATTGCTCTATGTCCTGAGCCAGAAGTCACCAGCACAGCGAGGCAAGGAGAGGAAAATTCTTCCACTAGGAGTCTCATGCTTATACCCGATCACCAGGCAGTCAAGCTGATCATTGTAAAAAAAAAACATGCCGGAAGCACTGACTCAGTTGCCACCGACGGCAGAAGTTTATCTTTTCCTTGCTGTCACAGTGTGTGTACATGTCATGACTTGATTTTTTTAACCTTTCTGAGAAGCTACCAATTCCACAAAACCGCCAACTGTGGAAGTAACATGATCTCTTGCAGTTGTTTTGAAATGACATGTGCTACTTTGTCCGTGCATCATTGCATCATACTGAACAGGTTCGAGGACCTGGTGTTCCGGCTGGGCATAAGGTCTACGACGTCACACAGAGTGTAGACTTGTTACCGACATGGGCTGATATTGCTGGTGCTGAGGTAGCTGACCAGTCGAGCAAGGTGGATGGAGAAAGTGTTCTCCCACTGTTCAATCTTTCAAGAGAGGTGAGATAAGTCACAGCTACCACTAGCCGTGTTTAATCGGAATACCGCACCAGAGTGCAGTATGTCGGGTCCGGTGTGGGATATTGCTCCCCTCTGCAGTGCATGTACAGGCCAGGCTATAGGGTACAGGTCTACTGGCTGTGACTCACGTAGTGTTCTCAGTGAAATCAAGCTGCTGCTGCTACATAGTTTAATAGGTTGTAACTTGCTAGTGCCTTCATCAAGCTAGTGAATGCCACGCCGGGCCGGGCAGCGCTGCGTAGCCCTGCACCTAGGAACACTGGGATGTGTACTGGCTACGCAGGGCAGGGCTACGCAAACTTGATTCACGCGATCAGATTTCATTGAGCAGCACTGTATATTGATGTGATGTTCTTTTCGGCATTGGCAGTCACTCATGTCACTGTGTTGTCTGTTTCCCAATGTCAGGTCGGGGGTCAGTTACCGGTGCTGTGTTGTCTTACGGCTATGCATTGAATCTCAGTTGCAATTTCCTGCCATTTACAACACCTTCTTTAGGCAGGAACATTCAGATCGGTGGCACTTGCAGAGATGTACGGAGGGTCCTCCAACATGGGCGCAAACTACAAGGGACTGCCTGCATTCTGGCACAACCGTTTCTGGAACAACACCTATCAGGTTTGTAACAAGGATTTATTCATTTTATTTTATTTATTTACTGTTTGCACTTCATGGCACATAATGAAAATAGCCAATACAAGGAAGTGAGGGTGAAACCAACCACGGACTGAGGGCAAAAAGGCAAATTGAAAAATAAATAAATAAATAAATGAAGAGTGACAGTCAATTTTGTCTTCAGACTTTTCCCGTTTGTGTCTTTCCCTCAAACTAGTCAAGAAATATATAAATAAATCTTTTCCCGTTTGTGTCTTTTCCTCAAACTAGTCAAAATAAATAAATAAATAAATAAATTGAACGGTCTCTGCTGGGATGAAGACTACACCATAGCTCAGTGGTTAGAGTCCTGGTGGTGACAGTCAACTTTTTCTTCAGACTTTTCCCGTTTGTGTCTTTCCCTCAAACTAGTCAATAAATAAATAAATAGAGACTTAGTCCGAGGGAAACATATCAGCACACGAAGAGACGAAGCTAGTTGTAAATCTGATAAGGCCTTTCGTACCATTACTCTTCAAAATCAGTACATGGTGATAATGTGACGAAGCACAACGATGTTAATTTATACAGCATATTGGCGGAAAAATTGTGATGAAACGAACACAGGCTGAATGATAGTGTGAGTTGCGCCAAAGAGTACACGCACTATGACAGGGAGGTGGGAAGTCAAAATAGCACTAGCTTCCTAACAAACTCCTTCTGTCTACACAGCTCAGGCTGTAGCTTGGCAATGTAAACAGCCTCTAGCACATCTAGGTGACATTTTCTGCGCGCCCGCGCGTGAATCTTGAAGTGCTCTGGAACATTCTTACATACTGCATTCAGGCAAGAAGGGGACATGATCAGATGTGTAGTTATTGCAGTAATAACACATCTGTAATAACAGATGTGCAGTTACTTAAGTTGATCATGTCCCCTTCTTGCCTGAATGCAGTATGTAAGAATGTTCCAGAGCACCTCAAGATTCATGCGCGGGCGCGCAGCAAATGTCACCTAGATGTGCTAGAGGCTGTTTACATTGCCAAGCTACAGCCTGAGCTGTGTAGACAGAAGGAGTTTGTTAGGAAGCTAGTGCTATTTTGACTTCCCACCTCCCTGTTATAATGCGTGTACTCTTTGGCGCAACTCACACTATCATTCAGCCTGTGTTCGTTTCATCACAATTTTTCCACCAATATGCTGTATTGACATCGTTGTGCTTCGTCACATTATCACCATGTACTGATTTTGAAGAGTAATGGTACGAAAGGCCTTATCAGATTTACAACTAGCTTCGTCTCTTCGTGTGCTGAAATAAAAAATAAAATAAATAAAAAATAAATAAAATGAATAAGGCTGAAACAATTATACCGATAACTCGCATATCGATCGTTAAGAGTGCAATCGATAATCGTTAGTGTTCAAAACGAGTGCTAACGATTTTTATGCATGTATATGAGTGACAGTATTCTAGCCCTTGCACTCCATCCGATAGTGAATATGAGTACAATCATGTGCTTTCAAGCACAGTAAAATTGATTTGTGGCTTTGAAAGAGATCGGAAGAGAATACTCTTTGTCTTTTCAGTTCATTTGCGGGAAAGGTCAGAGATAAGAACAGTTGCCGGAGGGTGATGACAAGATTCTTCGCTGTAGAAACAAAATGAAATTCTCTAGGTCATGTTGATAAACCAGCCAGATGTCTACAGATGTCAACAGTGCGGTGCCACAAATTTCTAACGTAGCAAAGGTATCGTGGAATTTTTTCATAAACTGGTGTTTGAGGTACACGGGTAGAGCCGACAAGAATCGATAAAACCAATATATCGATCGTTAATGATATTGGTTGATCGTTAAGAGTTATTGAATGATCGTTTCAGCCCTAAAAATGAATAAATTGCATGCACATCATGTGCATGAAAGAAGTGGGGCTGAGTAGCCAACTAGTGCATACCGTATTTTACTGGTTGTAAGTCGACCCCGGTTATAGGTCAACCCCCGTATCTGGAGGTCTCATTTCTGCTTTTTAAAGTTATCACCCAACGAAGCACTACTAACTGCTCACTGCTACTAACACATCAACAAATCATGTAAACATTCCTTATTGGAGGGTATAACGTCCCCGGCAATCTTTGAAAAAGGCCAATAAACTGGCCAAAATGTGCACACATGGTGTACTCGTGCATGCAGTTCAGGTCATTTTTTTAAAGATACTGATAGTTCCCGGTTATAAGTCGAATCCCGGTTGTAAGCCGACCCCCACTCTTTCTCCCTCAATTTTTAGTCGTGAATGGTCGACTTACAACCGAATAAATACGGTACCTGAAAAAGCCACAGTGTCCACGTTATCCAACAACTTCTGGTGCTTGCTGCCAAGGCTACATAATCAAGAGTATGCAGCTGTGATCTCTATCTGGGGGATTTTCCCAAAAGTCCATCACGAATGGGGCGATATTCAAGAGAGGGCACTATTTTGTTCAACGCTTGTACAATAACATCGTCCAGCATAAAACAGAAACTTCAGCAAGGACTGTGATTTTGATCATGAAACCACCGGTGCGGTGACATGGTCAAGAACACTAGCAAAACAACACCGAACTTGCAGATGCCTGAGGCACTATCCAGGAGAGGGTTGTTTTGTCAATAGCTCTCAGAGACAGCAGCACTATTCGAGGTCTTTATTCAAAAACAGGGCTCTAATCGCGTGAGTACGGTGCACATTGGCTCTGAGCTCTTACCACTGCTGGTCTCTGGCCCGCATGGCTTAGTTCTCTATGGTGTACTGAAGCACAGAAAATCAGGCAATCGTTATCAGTATGAACCGAGCATGGCGTCGACAACACTGTGTCTTGTTTCTCTGCCGGTTTGTCTCTTGCAGGGCGTCCGTGTGATCAATGGTACGGGTTTTGCAGCCAACGCTAACTGGCTCTATGTTGAGTGGTGCACAGGAGAGAAGGAGTTCTATGACGCAGCTAAAGATCCAAGAATGGTAAATTAGAACTATACTTCGAAGTACCATATATGTCTTACGGAATTCGATTCGATTATTATTTTCGCACGCTGTTGATGGTTCTTGTCTGGTAGAGTCTGATGTTTGTCGTATATGGTCTAGTGTCCGTATGAGTATGGTGGGATGTGAGATGCATATCGCGGGTGATCGATTTTCATCACGCTTTTTTCACGAGTCTTTAGTGTTAGGACGGTGCATGGGCGTGGTACTAGTGTAATTCCAAGCGGTTATATGCGGATCTCTGCATGTGGTGTTACAAGCATGCAGTGAACAGTTCACAAAGTTACTGCATCACGTAACAATGCTGCGGACTTAGAAGTAGCAACGACGGCGGTAATTATAGATGAAGCTGGTCGTGCTCCTAAATGGAGCTCACACTTCCTGCAGAACTCTGCAGCAGGAAGTGGTGCTTTCTTGCAGGTTTGCCCAGTACAGAGAGTAGAAGGGTTGGCATGCTCCTCGCGTGCTCCCAATGGCAGTCGCAAGTCCGTCAAGTTCGACGGGAAGCGGGAGCTCTATGTAGCAGCAAGCAACTTCATTGTAACAATGCGCCGAGAGAATAGTTTCTTTTGATGGTTACACTCCAGATTCTCAACAAGTTCAGTACACTGGATGCTGACACGCAGAGCAAGCTGTCCTCGCTCACACAGCAGATGGGCTCCTGTGTTGGTGATGTGTGCCGCTCGGCAAGCAAACTTCAAGTACCACTGCCGTCTACTGGTAAGTTACAATAATTCACGGTGTGCGCATCAGTTGGTAATGTATGATGAGTTGATTGCAATGATGCCACACCAGTACAATCGTGTTGATTGCAGAATGGTTACGCAGACAGTTAGTTAAAGGGGAAGTTAAGGCAAAAATCAAAATTTCACCAGTTGTAGTCTTCGGGGTGCTGAGTCGAATGGTCTTGGTCCGAGAAAGCTGAGACGCTCCCTTCCTACTTGAATCCCAATCGAACTCGCGCACTTCCACCGAAACTGGGTGACTGCGCCCTACTAGATGGGGATTTGTATGCAAAATGTCACTAAAAGCGCCATTTCGTGCTTATAAAAGCACGGATGACCGCGATTGGCCCATATGTTGTAGTCTTTTGGACGCTGAGTCGACTGGTTTGGGTCCGAAAAGGCTGCGATGCAGCATTCCTCCTTTATTCCCAATCGAACATGGTTGAACAAGCGGTCACGTGCTCCTGGGTGCCCAAATCACCTGGTCACCACGCCAGCAGGCGACAACTTTCACACCAAGGTTCAACTCGAGTGACAGGACTGCGCCCAAAAAAGGTCAAACAGGCTAGTAAGTTGTACCCTGCAGGCACGGTGACCAGGTGACTGGTGTACGCAGGAGCACGCGACCGCTTGTTCAACCATGTTCGATTGGGAATAAAGGAGGAACGCTGCATCGCAGCCTTGTCGGACCAAAACCAGTCGACTCAGCGTCCAAAAGACTACAACATATGGGCCAATCGCGGTCCTCCGTGCTTTTATAAGAACGAAATGGGGCTTTTAGTGACATTTTGCATACAAATCCCCATCTAGTAGGGCGCAGTCACCCAGTTTTGGTGGAAGTGCGCGAGTTCGATTGGGATTCAAGTAGGAAGGGAGCGTCTCAGCTTTCTCGGACCAAGACTATTCGACTCAGCACCCCGAAGACTACAACTGGTGAAATTTTGATTTTTGCTTTAACTTCCCCTTTAATATTGGCCAAGATGATAGGAGCTAGAATCCCTGGTACGAGTGTTGAGTCTGATTTCATCACATAATATGCAGGCAAAAAAGGACTGCTCAGCGCACTGAACTCTTGGGGAATAAGGACTTGGATGTTTTACATCACCGCCATGTCAACGCTGGCATTTGCATCCACCCGGATAGAGCCATGGACGTTTGAAGAAATCTGTACATCTGCCAGGAATGACTGGACTGGGCTCTGGGGTCCATTACTGGCTGGAGCAGATCCTACACCCACCATACAAACACTATCGAAGAGCGCTTGATACCATCAACTTCAAGCTGTGTAAATCACTGATGTTGGTTGAGGTTTTATACTGTATCCCAATTTGTGATGTCCTTTGTGCTGTTCAGGAGAGGCACCATCAACCTTAAAGTGTCACAACCCGCCAAACCTGACAGAGGCTGCTGAGAGATTTTACCAGCCGGTGTTTCCCTATGCAGACAGTGACACAGCAATACTTGCAGATCCTTTTGAAGTCGTGTAAGAAGGCCTTGTATGGTGGATAGGTACTACCAGTACATGCATTGCATAACCATACATGTACCGGTACACTAGTATAAACACATTCTAGTTCTATAGCCTATCAGCTGCAGTGAAGACTGATGCATGATGCACTAGGTATAATAGAACGAGTGAAATTTCCTTTCTTCGGCAATTATTGAACTGACAGGAACACCTCGGCTGGCCAAGGGTTCACATTGAACATGATTTTCATATTACAATTGAGTAGGAAATAGGTCTTTCACAGAACAATTTCCATTGCCAAGTACTAGTAATCACTCTTCATCATTGCCCTTCGGTTATGGGAGCCTTGCAATAATGACTCAATTGATAACGTAAGCTGTGGTAACCCGTTCGTCTTGCATATACAAGACAACGCCCACCAGGCTGTGAATGCAGTCCCTCCTTTGCTCTTTGGTTTTCCAGCAAGCCGAAACTGCCACCATCCAGCGACCCAGCGTGACAGACAAGATAACTTTGAGTAAGTAGTCAGTTGAGTTAGTTGACGAAGACCACAGGCCAGAGGGCTTTGGGGAATTAAAGGCTCAAAGGAACGAGCAGCAGGTCACAAGAACAGCACAAGAAAATCAGAAACAAAGCATTTCACTTCAAGCATGCCATTGAGCATCATGAAATAATACAAAAGAGCAAACAAAACAAAATGTAGCTGAAGCACCATCACACATAGATTTCTGCAGACATAGTGGTGTTCTGTGCTACGTTAGGTGATTGTTGATCAACCGGAGAACAAGCCACAGAACTCCTTTGCTTTGTAGTGTCAATTTGCGGTACATCAGTCAACTCCACGCCAACTACATGGTCACACAACACACACTCAAAACATGATGCTTGGTGTTCGCTGCTGCCATGAATGTATATGGATGGGTAGATGGGCGGACGACTTCGAGTTCAATCAGGTATTTCAACTGTTGATTGACTGAAACCCAACACGATCGCAATGCCAAGTCCAAAGATAAAGCCACTGCGAGGCTATCTCAGGGTGGCTGTCTTTCCTGGACACGGCTTGCCTCATATTACCACCATGGCCTCCAGCAGACCAGGGTGTTTTGTGACTGAATCAGCCAGCACCCAGTCACAGAAACCGCTGGCAACTCAGGCCGGTGACTTGCTATCTCATGCATCATCAAATTGGCCGTCTTCTGCAGGCTCGTCGTCTCCTGAATAAATCAAGAAGCACCCACATACCAAAGGCGCAGCCAGGGCCAGTCAGGGCAGCAGCTCGGAGATGTAGTAGGATGCTAAGTGGAAGCAACACTTAGAGCAAGTGAAAAGCCCCCACCCCTTCCCAACATACATGCTCAGGTGCAATACATATACAATGTTAGAAGCACTGCGAGCTGAACATAGATGCAGATGAGAAAGAATCATAACTGCAACTCACCATTAGCGGGTGCCTCGACGGTAACAGCATTCAGATGCTCCAGAACACGCTGTACATGCAGACAACACACAAAGGCAAACGGGCTTGCTCAGTAAAATTGTGTACCTGATTGATGGGAAAGAAGTAATATATGCCTTAGCTGGTGTCGTAGGTCATACACTCACGCACAAACACACACACACACACACACACACACACACACACACACACACACACACACACATACACACACACATCAAATAGATAACATGACAACAAGGCTCAAGGCTAACCTGTCCTTCGGCAGTCAAGTGTACAACGTCATCGGCTGACGTAAAGAAACCTTCCATGCTGCCTGCAACACAAGAGGAACCAAATACCAGAGCAGAAAGCACCATACAATGATGTACAGTGTTTGAACAATGCAAACCTGGCAGCATCCTTGTGGACGGTATACAATACTAATAGTACTAGTACTACATGAGAGCATATGGTTGTGTGATGTCGTCCATGGAACCGACTAAGTATTCACTGGCCATTGACAGGGGCAGAAGCTTGCTACAGCTGTACCGGCAAGAGGAAAGGATCTCTTGTCAACAAGGGGTGCTCTGCAAACTGAACAAAGCCATTCACATTCCCTAAATACTTGACTGCCCACATAAATATGTACTACACGAGTACATGTAGAGTGGTGATAAATTGCAATATGTGCTTTCTTCGAGTTTCATGGCACAAAAGCGCTCATCAGATTAGTTTACATAATTTTATAGACTATACAGTAGCACCACCGGTGACTGCTGCTTACTGATATTCTCCATGAGAATGCTGTCGTTGCCTTCACCAAGCTGATGTTGCTCATCTTCGTCGTCATCCGTGTCTGGATGCATTGCTTGACATTGACTCATAGCACTGTACATGCTATCCACTGCAGTGCACACACACACACATGTACACGGATAGCATACACACAGGCATGATACACACATGCACACAAATTGACACAATCATGTACATGTATAGCACACACACACAGGCATGATATACATGTGCACACATGTACACGTATAGCATACACACACAGCGTACAATACAACCATAGTGCAACACAGGCATACTGCCAACTGTGTTGTGATTAGAAAACAGTATACATGTACCATAGTTCAAAGGCAAAGTGTTCACCACACATTGAAGGTGGCTGCACTCAAAAGCTACTGCAAACCCTACACACAACCTCAGCGAGAACTAGCAGTGGGAGCATCAACTTACGGTGATCCGGCTCCTCAGGAGCAAAGCGAACTTCAGTTGTCTCTTCATCCTCATCATCATCTTCCCAGTCGCCCTCATCGTCACTACCAGCTGCTGCTACAGCAGCAGTAGCTGCGGCCTCAGCACCTTCATCTGACATCTCAACAACGTTAACCTCACGGCGATTAGGTGCAGCATTGGTGGCGGCATCTTTGGAAAGGAAAACAAAACATGAGGAAAGAAGGAACAACACGTTTCTTCGGAGACAAACAAAAGCTATCATACTTGGTCCAACTTATTAAAATGTGCGCTTCACTTGAAAACTCAAGCATATGTACAAAGGAGCACCTGTACTAACAAATTAACCAAGAGACGGTAGATAGATAACTACTGTGTCATTTCTTGGCCTGACCTAGTTTCTATCGCTGCTGGTGTCTCAGGGCGCATCTGCAAGTGCGTCCCCCTGGAAAACGTCGACATTTTTTCATCTCCTCCAAGCTACGCCACGCTTCCTTGAATTCCTACACTCCATAGGCACGATTTAGACGATCGGCTTCGCCTCCTCCTCGTGCAGTACGACTGTCAGAATGGTGTCTGCGGTGTTTTCGCCTGAAGCCCTCATGCCACCTTCAAAATAAGGCGAACAAGTACACCACCACGCATAAAAAATCAATTCTCATCACCGTGTGCCGCACGCGTACTGAGTCTGATCTTTGTCGACATGTCATGCAGTCAGACCATGCGTGCTCTTCGCTGTTTTACGAATCCACTTGCCCCAGAGCCGGAGACAGGCGATCTTGTGACGGAGCTACGGTATGCTTGATGTAGCGATAACGCATCGCGATCGTGGTTCCGAGGACTCCGCACCATCCACGCACCGTATCCGTAGAATAATTCACCCTTTCTGCGCTTCAGTTTTCCAGCCAGGTCGTCCCCTGAGAGGCGACCTCAGGGGCGGTTATTTATTTCGATCAACTTCTCGGCGATCTCTGCTGTGATCTTGTTTCGTCGACCGCCACATCGTGAACGACGGCGAGAGAGATCAGCAAACTGGACCGAGCAATCCTGGTGATTTCTGCACGAGTTTCTGGATGATGGGTTTGCCGAAATTCTGCCAAGGAAACACCGATTGCAGCGATTTCAATCTGTCAGGAGGCACTCCAGAACGATCGCCCAGGAGTTTCTGGTACTCCGTTACAATTCTCCATCGCATTGGGGTGTTGATTTCAGCACCAGGCCTTCTCTATGTTGCGCGAGAAGCAACGGGAGTCCTCTGAAGACAAAATTTGGAGGGAAATGCGCGAGTCGACTAGTATTTTGAGTCGCTGCCTCCTTTCGAGTTGGAGTTATTTCTTCTTCAACATCGCAAATCGACAACTGAAGGGCAGTGTTAGGTAGCTGGAAAGTTTATTCCGTCCTGAGATTAATTGAATTTGTTTGGTTGAGGTTCGAAGTGAAACGCATATTTTAATAAGTCGGACCAAGTACTTAAAAGGAGGACACACTTCAGGTTATTCAACAGCAACATTTTGAAAGTTTTCTACTACACTGCCCTTTGACGGGTTCTAATCATGAATACATAGGCAAGACTTCACTGAAACAATAACTAATTGCCGTACTAGAATACGACAACCAGCTACAAGGGCACGGGGAGATGCACTGCTGCAAGTGAGACCAGATGGATCACCTGCACTCCCTTGTCCCTCTCCGCACACATGTACAGTACACTGTAGCAGAAACAGTATGGCGGGTTCTCGTGACTCACCTCCATTTGTAGCTGCGCTGACTCGCGCACCCACCATGCAATAGAGACAAGGCATGGGGAATGAAGATCCGTTACGACTCACTGCATGTAATCCTACAGACTTGTACTGCAGTGTGAAGGCCTTGTTTTCGTATGATGACTTCCATCTTACACAACTACAGCAACACACAACAGACAATGAATCAAACCTGATCAAATAGTATGATTGGACCTGCCACATGCAAGAAACGTTTGCATGAGCTCAGGGCACCCATCGGGTTATTCAATATTCCCCAGCGTCAGGTCAAGTGCAATATGAAGAATCAAATGCAGTGGAATCTACTGAGCATGAACATACATAGAAATTCTAATACCAAGGGTAACATTCCCTGGACTAAGCATAGAACAAGCTTCAGGCTCTTTACAAGCAACATTCCGAAGTTCCACTAGCACGTTCAATGCCTTCTCTTCAGGTGGATACAGGCAAACGAATAAAATAACAGTACGATATTTTTTTTGGAAAGGATCGGGAGCGAGAACTTCAAATTCAAAGGATCATTCAGGGAAGTGAACAGCCTGAAAAGAGATTTTTTTTAAAAATGCCAACCCCACCCGGACTCGAACCCGGACCTTGCGTGTCAAGAGCAATGCTCAAATTGTCGTCCCTGTGTACAGGTTATCTCCTTATAGAGTATCATTAGAGTGTAAATGATATCCCCGGTCTTGGTCCTAGCTGTAGTGGGCCTCTACTCTCCAGGACAGGTGGTCACCTTATCAGAGTGGTCACCTTGACAGATTTCACTGGACCATGTGTTTGGGATTACCCTTTGGCTGAGTCGACCAGTGTTGCACTAGCTTAATAAAAGCCCGTAAATAAGACTAGAGAATATGTGCCACACTATGCAGCACAATACTAAGTATTGTGCCGCATAATGTGGCACATACTTATTTTAAGCTACATAAAGCAGGAAATGTCCCTCCCCGAAACATCATAAGCCTTATGTTTCGGGGAGAACTACATTTCCTGCTTTTACTACATGTACTGTACATGAATAATACATCACTGACCTTTTGCAAATGTACAAATCTCCGACCCCAAGATCGTCACTGCCAATGATAGCTTTCGTATTGGCTTCATGGTGGACCACATCACTATCAGCTCCATCTACGTTTGCCATGGTCAATGTGACTATGGACGTGAAGATATAAAAGTAGTTGAAGAACCGAGAAATGACTATGTCAAACTACAAAAATGCCTACGATCATTCTATCTGATGCATCGATGATTTTCAAATTATTTCCCAGTGAAAAAGCGTTTTCAAACATTTTTGCCGCTCATCATTCATTTTTATCGAGTGCTCTTGATTTTTTATTGATAGTTTTGAGTTCCAGATTGAAATTGATCAAGGAAAATAATCAGATAATTATTATTAGAAATAGAATACTCGAATAGAGTAGTCTGCCTTTTCACCAGACTCCAGTGCTCGAGAGCCTTGTTTGAAGTCATTTTCTACTGCCCTTTAGTTCAGTCTCGTCTTGTCTCCGAAGAGAAGCTCTTGCCAGCATCGTTGCTCTCCTTAGTGCCTTTGGTCGTCCTCTGGACAGCTATTTCACCATGTCTGATGACTTTATGATGGATGACGACGATGAAGAGTACCCCGACCTTGTGAGTGGAATGTTGAATTCCACTGAATGTGTTCGAGCTAAATTCTGCAGGAAGGCTTCCCTAGTGCACGTGTTTTTGTTTCGTTGTTGGTTTTTGTTGCCAGGAATACTCTGAGGAGAGCAACAGCGAGCCAGACGTCGATTTGGAGAACCAGTACTACAACAGCAAATCCATAAAAGAGAGTGACCCACGTGCAGCATTGAAAAGTTTTCAAAGTGTAAGCAATACACACTGGCCCTTTTTTTCTAAGAAGTGTGGTGAGACTGAGTAGTGTCCATTCCTTGCCTATCCCCATGTACAATATTCTTCATTCTTCCCGGTGAAGATTTCTCATGCTGAAGTTGTTTATCTTGATAGCTTTTTCGTTGAAGGATTTTCATGCATTGTCATTTTTCAAATATCAAGGCTGAGCTACAGTCCTAACTATTGGCTTCCCATTGCCTCACCGGCACCCCGACTCCCAAAGGGCTGGCATGTTTGTGTGTGTTGTTCTCGCAGGGGGTCCGGGACTAGACACCACCCGTAATTTGAGATGTACATTGTATGTAGCTCCCAAAATTTATGCATATTCGCTGTGGAAATGTCAGGAATGTTGCAAATGAGTCGGAATGACATCATGTTTTGGCTAAATAGACCAAAGTACCCATAAATTTGGGGTCCGGGGCACTGACGTATGCGTGTGTGTGTTATTATGTTTGTGTTTTCTCTCTAAATGTGCAGGTTTTGACCCTTCAACTGGAAAAGTGCGAATGGGGTTTCAAAGCTCTGAAACAGTGTATGAAGCTTAACTTCAAACTCGTAGGTTGAGCTGTTAACATCAGGATAAATTGATATGAATGAGGAGAATAATAAGAATGCAAATTGAAGTTGAAAAGTAGCCCTTATATGTTTGACTCCCTCAAACTGGTGGTGGTGGAATTGCTAAAGTAGCCATTATGTGGAATTGCTTCCCTCAAACTGATTCGAACAAGTTTTGTACAACACTCTTCAGGAATCGCCGGTGTACTAGCTGATGAATATTATGCTCATTGCTGTTAGTAATCAAATAAGCGGGTTCAGAAGATTTTTTTGTGAAGAGAAAGAACCTATAAGTTATATCTATTTACATCTATAGTTACCTATAAGTTACATACGAGTTTTAGAAGATTTTTTGTTTCTCCACATTGTTAAAGCCGTTACACCTGTCGATACAGCTCGTCCTTTTGTTCGCAATTTTGAAGTATTGATGTGGATTGTTGCCTTGCGTGTTCAGGGCCAGCATGGGGAAATGATAGAACACTATCGCGAGCTGCTAACCTACATGAAGGTAACAGCCCAATGTCCTATGCTACTACTGTGTTGTTCATTCCTGGCATTCACTTCACGTTAGACTGGGTTAGTCCTTGATGGTGTCTTTGGCTCCATGGCCAGCAGCGGAGGAAAGGTAGAGCTTTTGCGGGAAAGCAGGCGCAGCTAGACGGACCCTGTGACAGAAATTTGACGTTATGCTTGACTTGCGAGTCCATGTGCACTGTGCCATGTTCGCTGGCCATATGCACTGGCCATATGCACTGGCCATATGCACTGGCCATATGCACTGGCCATATGCACCGGCCATATGTACCGGCCATGTACACTGTGCCATGTGCCCTGCATAGTTCATACTTGTGCTAAGTGTACAGTGAAACCTTTCTGTACTATCTAGTTAAAGTGAAGGACATTGTCAGCAGCGAGATGGATGCCTTGGCATGTCGGGGGTACATGTGTCTTATGATTTTTGAAGCAATGAAATATTTGGGCCCAATTTTACAAAATTCCCATGGGGCCCAGATTCCCCCACCTCTTCATGGCCACACCAATGTGGAATATCTTCCGACTCCCCTGCGTGTGTCTGTATGATGCTGTGTACAGGGCGCAGTGACGAGAAACTACTCGGAGAAGTCAATCAACTCAATCCTGGATTACATCTCAACATCTGCTCAGGTCAGTTGTGTGAACTTGTGTGTGGTTGTGCTGTATGTTGAGTGAAGGATAGTGCTACCGGCTATGTATTCTTAGGTTCTTAGGGAGGGAGAGAGATAAAGAGAGAGAGAGAGAGAGAGAGAGAGAGAGAGAGAGAGAGAGAGAGAGAGAGAGAGAGAGAGAGAGAGCGAGAGCGAGAGATTATGTGTTGCTACTTGTTCTCTTACGTGCTTGTGATGGTCAGGCAGCTGTCCATGTCCTGTTTGTGTATGTACCTGATTGCTTTTAAGTAGATGCCATCACTGTGAGACTGTGAGGTGTTTGGAGGCGATAAACTTAGTTCCAGTGCGCATGCTAAGTGCCATATTTCAACTCAACTTTGCCCTGGTTTTCCAGCTTTCTGGTGGTAACCATATTGCAACATGCAGCGCCGAGTGCTGTAGGACATTTGGCTCTCACCAACCTGTTTGCAGCTTTGCCATGCAGCTTTCTTTAGCATGCGTGTCTGTTACTTTGCTACAGTGCGTTGGTGAGATGTTGTCACTTTGATTATAAGACTGGCGCGAACATGGCTGGTACATGCTTGGTTAGAAGGGAGACGTGCTTCATTCTCATCCTTCTCTTCTCCTATATGGTTCTGTTTGTTGTTGCTGCTGTTGCTGTGTAGACTGAGCTGTTGCAGAGCTTCTATGAGACAACCCTTGGTGCACTTAGAGAATCCAAGAATGAGAGGCTTTGGTTCAAGACGAACACTAAGGTAAGACATGGCCGCATCTCTCAGTTCTGCCAAAGCTGTTTTCACTCCGCTTTTGTCCACTGTTTGATGCCCATGTTTGACTGTAGTTACTAGTACTGTGTAGCCACGTGTGGGTAGACAACGCAGGCCCAACTTCAGTAGTAATGTTCCTGTGAGTGTCCTATTACTGGATAACTCCTATTCTAATGTGTGTTGACTAGGCTCTGTCTCTCTCTGTCTCTGTCTATCTATCTATCTCTGTCTATCTATCTATCTCTCTATCTCTATCTATCTCTCTCTCTCTCTCTCTCTCTCTCTCTCTCTCTCTCTCTCTCTCTCTCTCTCTCTCTCTCTCTCTCTCTCTCTCTCTCTCTCTCTCTCTCTTATCCAGCTGGGCAAGTTATACTTTGACCGTGGAGAGTTTGTCAAGCTGCAGAAAATTATCCGACAGTTGCGAGCATCCTGCCAGGTAGGTAACCTTGATCTAGATGTTTAGAATTGGTTTGTCAGTAATGAGTGATTTCATTGTCCAGCTTTCTGAATTTTCATTCCAGTACCGTATTTTCCGGAGTATAAGCCGCACTTTCAGAGCTCGTAATTCACCCGAAAAAAGTCCGTGCGGCTTTCGTACACTTATACTGGGATGGTCAAATGAACCGTGAAGTATAGGGTAGATGTCTCTACTTTGTAGCAAACAAATCTGGGTGCGGCTTATACTCCGGTGCGGCTTATACATGTGCTCTGGAAAATACGGTACTTGGCATTTTCTGTGCGTGCAATGCCCTGCATGGTCATGCAACGTGTGTTTTGTGTGTTTTGTGTGTGTGTTTTGTGTGTGTGTGTGTGTGTGTGTGTGTGTGTGTGTGTGTGTGTGTGTGTGTGTGTACATGGTGTGTGTATGTATGTGCGTGTGTGTATGTGCATGTGTGTGTGTGTGCATGTGTGGTGCATGGTGTAGGTGTATGTGTATGTGTGTGTGTGCGCCAGCTAGTTCGGTTGGTGGGTACACTTTTGCCTGATTGTGTTGGTTCTGTTGCCAACAGGCTCGGCTGCTTGAAGGTGTAATGTTGTACCTGCCACCTTTGTTGTTTCCAGGGTTCGCATACTTTCAATTTGAAGTATACATACCTGTTAACCATGGACTGCTTCTGGCTAGATTAACTCTTGTGTAATCAATGGTGCTAGTGAAGCTTTTATCAGATCCACTCTGATTTAGCCACCCACACTAGTAGCAAGTACAGTGCGTACCGGTTATAGCGTGGTCGTGTAAAAGAATATACTGCCTACAAGAATGAACTATTATGTTTTCATAATCCTAACATGGATTTCAAGTGCTCATTTATTCTTACAAGCAATTTTATCGTACAGTAGAATATATCGGTCCTAAGAATGGACTTTGTGTAGCAAAACATACCAGATTAGTACAAAGTATATCGCCAAGAGTGCATAAACAAGAGTATGCAACTGTGGTTATGGGCCAGTGCGCGGCGCGCTGCCTTCATTACGTAACTTGCCTCCATCACGCTCTGAAAGCATGCACTCAAACCCACAATTTCTCGTACGAGCCCATCCGTTTTTGCTCGATTCATTCCAGTACCTACGCGATCTCTAAATTTTGGCGCGTGAACTCCAGTTCCGTACGAAAATTCATTTCCAACCAGAGGGAAAGCGTAGTGTTTGATTTTCCGCAGTGCGCGGACTGCAGCTGAATGATGTAATGAAGGCAGCGCGCCGCGCATCTGGCCCATAGAAAAGAGATCACAGTTGCATACTCTTGTTTATGGACTCTTGATATCGCCTGTAGTAATAATATCCGTCCAATGCAGTTCCGATCTGGCTCGCGTTGGGTTGTAGTGCTGCAGGTTCAACTGTTGTGGTCATGTAACTCATGTTGCATAGCCACATGGTAGGCCTATGTGACTATGACCAGCCGCATGCACCGTAACACTACATTGCATGTACGATGATCTTCCTGCCTCTGCGCACATGCACATAATATGTCACACATGATTTATCGCGTGTAAGAAATATCGGAAATAAGAAAAAAGTTTTTCAAACACCCACGCTATAACCGATACCTTCTGTATTACCTTAACTGGGGGGCAGGGGTAACTGCAGTTGGATCCCGGGACGGATACCCTGATGCCGTCAATCCTTTTTCTGCACCTTGTCCTCACCCACTTACTGAGGTGTGGTGAGCCCATAAGTGGGATCATTTTCCAAGTCCACCCAGAGTTTTGGGGATTTCAGAGGGCGTCGGCCGTTGGGCGGTTCAATAGCCGATTGAGTCATCTTTCCAAGGTTCCTTTCGAGTCTCTCTCCCCTCTCCCGGGGAGACCCACATGACCAGTTTTGGCAGTGAGCAACAAGTATAAGTGTGTGTGTGTGTGTGTGTGTGTGTGTGTGTGTGTGTGTGTGTGTGTGTGTGTGTGTGTGTGTGTGTGTATTAGTGATGTAAGGAATACACTGTATTGGAATTATTCGAATATTCTAGAATTCCAACACCAGAAAAAATATTCGAATGCAGGCAGCATTATTTGATATTCGAAAATTCGAAAAATCCGCACTTTTTGATGTTACTTAGCTCCAAACTTGATCTGAACAGTATTGAGGATGACAGTATTAAAATTATTTTCTGAGATCTGTGAAGCTTTTTCTTGGGTACAATCTGCTCTGTAACCAGTGGGAATGTGATCTGTATGCAACATGAATGTTGGGTCTGATGGAGTGAAGTGATCGACGCGCATCACAAGAATAATAGAATATTCGTTCGTTCGTCAAAGCAATATCCGAGGGAATATTCGTTCGAAGAAAACACCATTCGTTTCATCACTAGTATGTATGTATGTATGTATGTGTGCATTGGTTGTATGCATAGTTGCGTATTGAAGCAATCACCTTCACGGACTTTGTTTACTTGTGTTTGTGAATCTGTTTCCACACATAGACTGAGGCTGGCACTGATGATTTGAAGAAAGGAACGCAGCTTTTGGAGATTTATGCACTGGAGATTCAGATGTACACAGAGCAGGTACTTGTATAGATCCAGTGATGACACTACATAGGGCATCATTGACATTGAAGTGCATGCGCTGAGTGGTATGCACATGTCCATACTTGTCCGAATACAGTTAAACTTGTGAAGGCGACCACTCGATCAAGACGGCAGCTCTACCAAGACGACCCTTTTTTCCTTGTCACGAACGTGTTCCCAGTCAAAACAACTCGGATGAGACAACCACTCGTGCAGTGCGACCGTTGACCGCCCGTCAGCGACCACATCGTGCCCTGTCTGGTCACAATTCACCATGCACGTCAGTGCAGGAAGTGTGCCCCGAAGGTTGCATGCCCCCTCTAGGCACATGCACGAAATGTGGTCGATCAGCTGTCAGGCTTGATCTTTACCATTGATGCAGCAACCCGCACATATCCTATTTTTCACACTGTACATTGCATGGGTGTATGCAGTGTGAGGTACCGATCAGAATGATAGATATGCATCACATTCACATGTACTGTAAAAGCAGAAATTTTCGGTGGTGTAATATTTTCGGTATTCTCCAAAATCGGTGGTTCGGTGGAGGGAAATTTTCCGTAAAACCTGTTTTCCAGGTAAGTGTACTAGTACTAAATGTATACAGTACAGGATCACCTCGGCAAGGAGACTACTATTTGCCGTCCCTTGAGCGGTCGGTTTAGACACGTTTTACTGTAATGTGCTCGCTGCAGGGAATGGCAAGAAACAGTGATGATTCTGTATTTCGATATCACACTGCATGACCATGTCATTGATAGCGGCCATTCAAACCACTGCTGTATGAGTATGGTGTCCATCATCGTAGTGTGATGGTTCTGAAAAACGTATGTCTGGTGCCACGGTGAATGTTTGGTTTGGTGTATCAAACTTCTGCCGGTCTCCTGACTTTTGTTCTTTGCTGTTGGGATTTTTTGCTCCTTGATGTCGTCAACCTGGACGATGTGTGTGCAGAAGAATAACAAGAAGCTGAAGGTAGGGTGTTAGTGTGCGTAGCATGTGTTTCTTGTGCAAAGAAACGGCACTGACCGCATTGTCATTGCGGTGCATCTCTTTTGAACCACAACTCGGCATACCAATTTTTTTCATTTTTTGTTGTTTCCCAACTGCTTCATTGATTGGGGAATACTTGTTTAGGTTGGGAATGTCTTGAAATGTCTTTTGAACCCAAGCTCAGCACACAATAAAAATCTTTTTGATTATTCCATTTCCACCTGCTTCTGGCATGTTGTTGTGGTATACTGTAAGACATGTATTATATAACGAGGAAGCAAATCTAACATTTTAACGGACGACATTTCTTCGTTATAATAAGATCCGTTGAGGCCGTACTGCTTCATATATGCTGTGTGTGGATATGGCAGAATACTGCAAGATCGTTAACATATCTTCTCATTAACCTATGAATTTTGGACAATCGTTAAATTTGCGACTCGTTATAATAACATGTCTTACAGTATGGGGTTTGTGATTGGAATAGTCTTGAAATAATTTTTGGTTGTTGATTGGTTTGTTTCTGTTTGTCACCAGATCATTGTATGCCACTCGGTGGACACAATAGCTATGCCATTGCTTGTCATTGCTTGTCTTATCCTGGGTGCTTTTGTCTTTTCTGTTTACACAGGCACTGTATGAGCAGTCGTTGCACATCAAGTCAGCCATTCCTCATCCTCTTATTATGGGTGTCATTCGCGGTAGGTACCTTCATGTTGAGTTCAGCTTAGCCTTTAGCTGTGCCGGTATGTGTTTTGTGTGGTGCGGGGTGGGACCTTATTCTAAGTTACTTTCCCTGTTCTACCCTTAGTCTAGTGATGTGTGTCCTGAGTTCCTTGTTGTCTTTCTGCCTTGACCTGGTCAGAATGTGGTGGGAAAATGCACCTGCGGGAGCAGCAATTTGACAGTGCTCACACAGACTTCTTTGAGGTGAGGAAGAGGGTGTGTTGCGTATATTCATGGCTTATCTGCTTGTTCTAACTCTCTCTCTCTCTCTCTCTCTCTCTCTCTCTCTCTGTCTCTCTCTGCCTCTCTCTGTCTCTCTCTCTGTCTCTCTCTGTCTCTCTCTCTCTCTCTCTCTCTCTCTCTCTCTCTCTCTCTCTCCCCTCTCTCTTCCTCCCTCTCCCCTCTCTTCTCGTACGTGTGGCGATTCATTGGTTTAAAAACTGGGAAGATTTATTTGGTAGTAACTCGCTATCTGACTTGAACTGGGTTTGTTTGCGTACATGCAACTCTACACGTGTGTTGTGAATGTGTACCAATGCTTGTTCATTTCAGGCATTCAAGAACTATGATGAATCAGGCAGTCCAAGGTGAGTCTTTCTCAACAAATCACCTTGGCGTCTAAATCTACTGTGGAAACTAGGGGTGTTTGCATACATTGACAGTCTACCATTAGAGAACTTGTCGTCTTGCCAACCTTTCCCGTGTACATGTGCATGCCTAATCATCGTGGATTGTCATACTCACTTTCGGTTTACCTGTGTACAGACGGACAACGTGTCTGAAGTATTTGGTATTGGCTAACATGCTGATGAAGTCGGAGATTAACCCGTTTGATTCTCAGGAGGTAACTTGTGAACTTGCACATGCCATCCACATGCACATCACCCATTTGATTCTCGAGAGGTAACTTGTGGGCTTGCACATGCAATCCACATGCACATCTCACATACACATACCACACTCACCACGCACAAACACACACGCACATACATACATACATACATACATACATACTCAATCTGCGGACAGCATGCTGTTTCGTTCTTTGTGAACTCATCAGCGCAGCACAGAGGAAATGAGGCCGAACCTGATAGCAATGGAAATAAAAATACATACATACATACATACATACATACATACATACATACATACATACATACATACATACACAAATAAGGCTGGTCCAGGAAGCTCGAGGTAGATGCGTGAAACTTTAAGTTACATCTAACACAGCCTTTCGCCCCTGTTGTGTGTGTGTACATACATACATACATACATAGACAGTTGTCTAAAGTCCCTAGGCTGCTTACAGTGCTCAATGCCCACTGAACAGAGCAAGTAATACAAATATTACACAGCAATGAATCAAACAAGTCTCATTCCGCTGTAACTCCGAGTTTCGTGTCAAAACACTTCATCAGACAGCATATGACCAAGACTAACAATCCCTAGAATATATATACGGAGAAGGAGAGAAGGGGGCAAAGGTGATGGAGGTACATTTCAATAGCGCGAGGAAAGGGATGACAAAATCAGCGTGATTATAAGAGGAAAAAGATGTTGAGAGTATATAGAGCATAGCCAGGGTAGAGAAACAGCGCGATTTTCTGGCAACACATCAGTACAGATTTGTGCTGCATTGTTACACATCACATTGTGGCCTAGGGTGGTAAAAAAGGTGATGGGGATTGTGTTGTGGGAATCACTCACGCCAGGCAAGGGGTGACTACCACACCCGCCAAGGCATCGGAAAACCGGCGACAGAAGCCAAGACCCGCCAAAGCACGGGAGCCATGAGCCCTGGGGAGTGCTCACCATTCCCGCGCCCGCGGAACCCAGCCCCGACCGCCACCTCCCCGGCCCCGACGGGCAAAACAGCCACCCCCAGCCTGGCGTGGCTCATGTATTTGTCGTTCATCACGTTACCCTGCTGAGTTGAAACTTGTTGGCATGACGGCATTTGGAGATTAACTCGCTCCTCTTATTCAGGCGGGTGCTCCTGTCGGCGGTGATGATGCGGAATTTCTCCGTCACGCATAGGTTGCACCGTTTGCTGACGTTGCTGCACCCTTTAGCTTGCTCAGCAATCCTCCACTTGATGGTGACCGGTGCGTTCGTCTCTTTTAGCCGCCATAATGTGATGTGTAACAATGCAGCACAAATCTGTACTGATGTGTTGCCAGAAAATCGCGCTGTTTCTCTACCCTGGCTATGCTCTATATACTCTCAACATCTTTTTCCTCTTATAATCACACTGATTTTGTCATCCCTTTTCCTCGCGCTATTGAAATGTACCTCCATCACCTTTGCCCCCTTCTCCCTATATATATTCTAGTGATTGTTAGTCTTGGTCATATGCTGTCTGAAGTGTTTTGACACGAAACTCGGAGTTACAGCGGAATGAGACTTGATTCATTGCTGTGTAATATTTGTACATACATACATACATACATACATACATCTTGATCTTGATCCTGCTACCAAGTCTGGCTACGCAGTCCCCGAAGGGACAAGTCAAATGGTACTAGTCACCCTGCTGGATCGGTGGCGTATTCGGCCGCTAGTCGAGCGGAAGGTCCGGTGACAGGCGGAGCACTCCAGGAGTGGTGCCGCTGTAGTTTGGATGTCAGTCAGTTTGCACTTGTATCGAGTCCTTCCACTGATGGACGTACATACATACATACATACATACATACACACGCACTTGTTGCTCACTGCCAAAACTGGTCTCGTGGGTCTCCCCGGGAGAGGTGAGAGAGACTCGAAAGGAATCTTGGAAAGATGACTCAATTGGTTATTGAACCGCCCAACGGCCGACACCCCCTGAAATCCCCAAAACTCTGGGTGGACTTTGTCAGCATATGAATGATCACTTCGGGTCAACCCTCTTCTGGTTAACACCTGCCTTTTTTCCCCAAACCGTATAGAGCTCCAACCTTGGCTGAACACTCCTGTAAACACAGGTTTTCTAGTAAACATTAACATCCACTCTACCTAACCTTCTGCCTTCTGCTTTGTGTATATGATTGCTCCTTAACACAGGCCAAGGCATACAAGAATAACCCAGAGATTCTGGCCATGACCAATTTGATCATGTAAGACATGTTTGTTTTTTCTCTGGTCTCACATCTCTGCCTTTCTTCTTGGCGAATTCTAATAATTGAACCGTCAGATGCGAAAACCGACCTTATGGCAAACACTGTACAGTGGAGAAAAAATGCAGTTGAAAGTTGGCGAGTTTACGCACTGGTGCACCTGGACAACCAAGCTACAAACCTTGGTATTTCAGTCTAATATCGGTCTTTCGGGACAATCCAAGTATGTAAATCGAAAAGAAACCTCCAAGGAATCCAATGCAGCAAACGCGATCGCGGCACAATGCTGCGTTCCCCAGATACGAAGCCTGCAAGATACGTCACAGCACTTTGCATTTCTACTCATGAATCAAACGCTCCACACTTGGGGTTTCCCCCTTTTCAAGCGATCTACGATCTCGGCAACAGACGTCTTGGAAGCTCTCACTGCATCTTCACGAAAAAAATTGGGCGTCCTGGGATAATTAAGATGGAAAAAATTTCAAAATTCAAAAGGTGTGTGTGTGTGTGTGTGTGTGTGTGTGTGTGTGTGTGCGTGTGTGTGTGCGTGTGTGTGTGTGTGTGTGGAAAAAAAGCCACTTCATAGCTGTGTGGTGTAGACCAGGCTGAATAGTGGCGGTCAATTCTTCAGCCTTGCAAGTTGTTGAACGGTGCAATCCCAGCACAAGCTGCTATGGCTTCTGCTGTAGCATCGCTATCATCGCCTTTGGCGATGGGCGTCCAATGGTGTGTGTGTGTGTGTGTGTGTGTGTGTGTGTGCGTGTGTGCGTGTGTGCGTGTGCGTGCGCGCATGCACATGCACATGCACATGCACATGCCTTCAACAGAGCATATCAGAACAATGACATTGTGCAGTTTGAGAAGATTCTGAAGCAGAACAGGTAAGTCATTAGTTGCGTTATGGCTTGACCTTGTTACAGGGCTGTCCGTATTATAAATAGCCAATCTTTTTCATGAAACTAAGGGGTCGTCCGCAATTATCGAAAGTTTTTTTCCAATCCGTAGTAGCTTCAAATTTTTCCTCACCCCCCCCCCCCCCCCCCCCAGTCCGTAATAAAATATTATTGATGGACACACAATCGAACAATAACAGTCGTCAGCGCCAGCGCTAGACGGAAGGACTTCAAAGGAGTGCATGGAAGACGGTACTCTGGACGAAGGAGACAGTGAAACTCAAAAATAGAAAGTGTCGACTCGCCGTCGAATGCGCCGAACTTTATGATCCCCGGCCCAGGAGCAGCCAAGGAAGCGCGCGCGGGGGCGCAGAAACTGCCAGAACTACAAAAATATTTGTAGTAGACAGTTCGCGCGCAGCCGCGCGTGGAAAACAGGGGCTACACGTAGACGTACACGTGGCACGCGCACGTGTCATTTCGGAAGTTTTTCAATCCGTAACTGGCCTTGACCCACCCACCCACTTTCGAAGCTACTACGGATTGGAAAAAACTTTCGATAATTGCGGACGACCCCTAAAAGACTACTTTCGTTCAGGTAAATATTATGAAGCTGCTCTATGGGAGTATATTACTTGTGCTTGCAGATATCTTCTTTCGTAAAAGGGAATGGGTGAGTGGATATTTGCAAAAACAGAAATGCATGGGTTGGTGGATATTGGCTTAAAAGGGAGTTTTTTTTCGTTTCATTTAGGGGTGAAACAATTATACCGAGTACTCGAGTACTCGCTCGGTTTTTTCAAAAATAATCGTACTCGGAATAAATCAGAGTACTCGTTACTCATGGTACATGCATTTTCTACAGAAATCTGCAGTTTCAGGGCAGCAGTCAGCAGATGGTGATGTGCAGACTGTGTGGTGAACATTTCTTCTCGAGTAGAGGGAGCCCAATTGACCCACCAACCAATATACCTGAGAAAAATGACTGCTACTCGGTTCAATCAGGGTTGTACCATGTTATTTTAAAGCCCTTGGTGTGTAATTTTTAGGAGATGAAAAATGCTCGAATACTCGAATATTCGATCGGAGAAAATCAGAGTACTCGAACTCGGGATCTCAGTGCCAACTTTCACCCCTAGTTTCATTAAAAGTTATTAGCTGCGGGCGGTCACTCTCTTGTTTGGCGGTGATGGGTAATAACGTAGATCCTGAAATAGTGCCAAATACCGTAAAAGTCCGTAAATAAGTACATATTTACTTTCGAATTTAGTGACCACACCCGTACTAACTTTCGGGCGGGTACTGACTTTCAGGCACGAACTAACTTTCGGACCTGACTTGTGGGTAGTGGAGACGTACTTATTTCGGGCAGTATTTTTATCGGGCTCGACTTGACTTCAACAGACAGAGCCTAAAGAATGAAGGGAGTATTTCTTTTGGGCAGGTACTTATTTACGGACTTTTACGGTACTAGTGCAGTCGTCCCTCTTCAATCTAGCACTTTATAAAGCAGTAGATCAGATTAGTGATCATGAACGGTGCCGGGGTATAAAGGCACCACTGTACATTGTAGTGCATTGTGCTGTATTGGCTGCTATGTTCTGGTTGGTCGCTGAATGTCTTGCATCTGCAGGAAGTCAATCATGGAAGACTCGTTCATCTGGGAGCACATTGAAGGTAAGAAAGAGTAACTTCATGCTGTACGATTATGTTTCTCCTACTAAGACAGTGCTCTCCACAGTGTGGGCTCCACAGTGTGCTCCATTCCACTGCCAGCCTGTGTTATGAAGTCCTTCACGAGTTCTTATTTCCTTGGTTGATAACTTTCTGATGTTTTTTTCTCATTTACCGTGACACTGCTTCTTTATGCTTGCTTGTGTGACTGGTGTGACTCGGTTGACTTGTGTAGACTTACTTTCCAACATCCGCACCCAGGTCCTGATCAAGCTCATTCGGTACGTGCGCTTTGTGGAGAAGTGTATAGGGATGATTAGCTGTTGTACTTCAAAATACTTGTTTGTGCATTTCTCTCTCTCTCTCTCTCTCTCTCTCTCTCTCTCTCTCTCTCTCTCGCTCTCGCTCTCGCTCTCGCTCTCGCTCTCTCTCTCTCTCTCTCTCTCTCTCTCTCTCTCTCTCTCTCTCTCTCTCTCTCTCTCTCTCTCGCTCTCTCTTTCTTTCTTTCTCTCCCTCTCTCTCTCTCTCTCTCTCTCTTTCTTTCTCTCTCTGGCTCTCTCTCTCTCTCTCTCTCTCTCTCTCTCTCTCTCTCTCTCTCTCTCTCTCTCTCTCCCCCCCTCTTTCTCATTCTCTCTCTCTCTCTCTCTCTCTCTCTCTCTCTCTCTCTCTCTCTCTCTCTCTCTCTCTCTCTCTCTCTCTCTCCAGGGGTTCTCCTGTGAGAGTGCATGGTTGTGTGCTTTTTTGTAGAAGAGTTTGGATTTGGAGCTTGTGTTTCTTTTAGTAAAACTTTCTTGTGAAAGCTGTTCCATGGCTCTTTCTGGTCTCTCTCTCTCTCTCTCCCTCCCTCCCTCACAGGCCATACAGTCGTATTCGCATCCCTTTCATCGCATCGGTGAGCTTCTTTTGTGGTTATCTTCTTGCGGGCGGGGTTTTTATGCCTTTGCGCTCCCCTATCTCTTAATTTGCTGGCCGAAAATCCTATATATAGGATTTGAAAATGTGTGCCTTTTATGCCGTTGTTATTGGTCATCACGACCAATAATAACGACATAATGGTTTTCATGGAAGTTGTTAATATGTTTGAGGCATGAATATTTACATTTTAGACTCCTAGGGCGATAATATTTCTGATGAATACCCATTTTCAGCAATAATTGGAAATTTGAGCATAATTGTTCAGCTGCTGTCATGGAAAGGACTGAAGCAGTGAATGTGCAGAAGAACATTGCAGGTGTGGCACGGGGTGGTTTCATGACGACATATCGCACATGCCGTCATGAAACTACCAGTTTTAAGGATAAAACAAGGTCCAATAAAATCTCAAATCCTATATATAGGATTCGAAAAATAGGGCACAGTCCTTAGTAATATTGGGCAAGGAGATGAGCCTGAGATAGTAGTGTTTGAAAAAATTATCTTATTCAACTCTCGATATCTACTAAGACCTAGCAAGGAAGAATTGGTCACATACTTTTTGCTATTCTCATGCCACACCCATTTTGAGTTGAAAAATATGACCAAAATCCTATATATAGGATTTAGCAAATTAAGAGATACTCCGTGCTGGCCATCCGCGTACTTTTCAAACCTGTTCCGTGCTGCACGCTCCGTGTTTGAACGGTGGCCGCTGGTACTTTGCGCCGTAGTGTTCCATGTACATGCACTGTACTTCTACCGTCAACATGGGACTGTAGATGAAAATGTCTGCCCCACTATGGTTCAATAATCTACCTGGCTTCAATAACAGATCTCTTTTCTGCTTTTGTTTGTTTCAGGAGCTGAATATCGACTGTGATGATGTGGAGAGTCTACTAGTGGACCTGTTGCTGGATAGGTATGTGCAGTGCAAAATCCCGGTACTATAAACTGTGTTGTGTGTGTCCTGTCCCAAGAGTGGGTTGCTGTTTTGCTCAAGTGAGACTGTACCCTGCCAACAGAGCGCATGTACATGTACTCCCCGTAGATTTCGTGCAGGTTCGTGGTGCACTTCATCAAGCGATACATGCATGATATTACAGAGGATTAGCAAAACGAAATTCGCGTTCGCGTTCGCAAACATTTTTCAGTTCGCGAACTGGATTGCGAACTTTCGCATTTTTCGTTCGGAAAAGTAGTCGGAACGCGAATCGCGGATTCGTGTCAGGGCAGTCATAAATTTACCACGCTGTACTGTCTGTACACAATGTACGTCGTGTCAACGTCATGCATGTGCGAATTCTGTTTGCTAATCCTTCTCATAACGCGAATTCCGTCACTGAGTTCGACTTTCCTTGGAGAGCGAACGCGAACGCGAATTTCGTCTTGCTAATCCTCCGTAATGCAGGACATTGAGAGCCCATAGACATTATTGGTAAGATTGAGGTTCGTGTAGCTAGGTCATCATGCATGTTTGTCACAATCATATTTCAGAATGTTCTGTCTTCATATCAATGTGTTTGGCCTAGTTTCCTAACTCTTGACAACTTTTTTTGTAGTGAAATTCATGATTTTGTGGGTTTTTGTTTATTGTTGGTGTTCACACATGCATGAACGGCAGTTTCTACTGATAAATAAAACAAATTGATATGTTCGTCATCACATTCTTCATATAATCCAGAATAGCTGGCAACCACTATGGTCTGAGCAATTCTGTAAGGCTGCGTACATGAGAATTTTCAACCCGGGTTGAAAGTCTGTATGATAGACAAAATAGGCCAGCGTTTACATGAAGACAGTTGACCCGGGTCAAATACTGATATGCCGCCAAAAGTCCACTTCTAGAGTCCAGTATGGTCACGTGAATCCTTTCGCGCGAAATTTGCATATGCAGTGCTATTCAAACTCGGCACGAGATATACACAGAAGTACGTTAGTACGATTTCTCGCCCCGGATTGATTTCAACCTGGATCAAGCGCAACGCATCATGTAAACGCACCAGTCGATCTGTGTTCATGGCGGGTTGAAACTTGACCCGGGTTGAAACTTGACCCGGGTTGAAACTTCTCATGTAAACACAGCCTAACTGTCCTTTCCTTTTTCTAGTCGGATGTGTCTGATGTGGAAGTTGCTTTTGTTGCACAAAATCCAATGCGTTTTGCAGCAGTGCCAGGCAAAATACTTGAACTGGATATGGGTCTTGGACTGGATATGGGTCTTGGACTGGACATGGGTCTTGGACTGGACATGGGTCTTGGACTGGATACAGGTCTTGGACTGGATATGGGTCTTGGACTGGATATAGGCCGTCTTTCTATTGCCTATATGTATCTATTTCCTCTGTTTGCTTGTCTGTGTTGAATATCATGACATTGTAGGGTCATTGATGGCAAGATAGATCAGGTCAATCAAATCCTCATCATGAATAAGAGTACAACCGCAAGTAACACTTCAATGTAAGATATGCCCGAGTGTTTGTTTCCTTTGCCCTCCCTCATTTGTTGCCGCTACTGTGTTGATCCACTCGTAAATGTCATGCTTTTCAAGTCCACCCGTGGTCTGAAACCAGCTTCTGGCAGTGGCGAAGTATACGTTCAAGTGTGCACATGCACATGTGTGAGACAGTGGGGCAATGATGTGGTGATACCCTTGTTGTTGTGCAATGTTGTGGTTAGGTTGGTTTTGCCTTGTGCACATCGCATAGCCAATCCCCTCATCTATCCTACTTCAGCACTTCGAAGTATATCCGATGCATTGTTGAATACCACTCATACATGTATGCAGTTTTCAGTTGTGTGAGTTGCAAACATTTTGTGGAAGGAAGAGGCACAATGTTTGATGTTCAATGTCTCCTGTGCATCCCCAATTCAGTACCAGTACTCTTGCTCTTTCTCTTGCCATGCCTGTTGCAGGCATCATGTCATGGGTGCGTGGACGAAAGAGCTGGCGGCGCTTACAGAGCGGGTGGCCACCAGGCTGGTGTGAGTCAAGAAACGACCCACATCATCAAACATGTACTCATAGTAAGTGAACTTCCGATGTTTACCATGTGGCAACTCACACCTTTGAAAGGGGGCGAAACTTTTGGGGATGAACTTCCATTGTCTGGTGAATGGATGCAGTGTTGAGAAAGTGTACGACTTGGTCCCACCTTGATTGCACACTTTGTTGGAATGCCGGGGGCAAGGCAGCAGCGTTGGCTGCATTGTGGTGTTGCACGTGGTCAGTATCAAGATTGTCATAGCCAAGGATATTCAACTAGGTCTTGTGTTTACTGCCGGTTTAGTTTGTAATCGCAACTTTCACAAGTATACCGGTTTTGGCTGACTATGAGCCTTCTTTCATGCTAGAATCTGTGTGAAAGTGGTGGCCATAGCATAGGGTAAACATAGACAGATGGAGACTACGTGAAACATCACTTTAAACCTTAAACTTCGCTCCAGTTTGCATTGAGTCATGTTGATCAGGGCTGGCAAAGGTGACGTAATCAGCAGAAATGATGATATTCACATGCAGCCCCATACGGACTGTTCTATTCACTGTAGTGTGACAGATCATGCTGATTGATGCAAAGAAAAACTGGCACTGGCTTAGGGATCAAGGCCAAAACAGTGATATAAGGGCAGAAATTATGATGTGGGAAAACATTTCACTACTCCACATGTATGCATTAAGTAGGTGCAGTTGCTTTCACATAGCTAGGGGCATAACTTGCACACTCACTGTGATGGCACTGTGATGTCTATTCTTTTTGTCATGTTTGTGCAGAAACGAACACACGTCTGCTCATCAAATTGTCAAAAACTGTTGCAGCTTGACACATGAAATATATACTCTGTACAGCCTCTATCAAACTATCCCGGACCAATAAAATACATTAGGTTTGTACATTCTTTATTACTGCAAAGAACACAACAATCAACATGACCACAGTTAGGCTAGTGTAAAAAAAAAAAGCTTTCCGTGGAATCCGGAGCTGCTTTTCCTTGACATTCTAACTGCTTGGCCGCTTCTCGGACGGGTGTGCTGTGATTCGTGTGGCAACTGCGCCCACCATGCTGCTGCCGTTGGACGCCTGGCGCTTGCCTTGCTCCCAGCTCCGATTGCCTTGCTTCCTACTCTCCAGTTTATACAGTCTGAGATACCACTTTCCTTGCTCCCTGTTCCTCAGTATGTTCATCTCAGCTTCTATCTGCTTGCCTTGCTTGCTATTCTCTACTCTGCAGTGTCTGGTCTTAGTAGTCATCTCAGATATCTACTTGTGAACCATCATGTGGTAGCAGTAGCACTGATGACTGTGCACACACAACAGATATCACGTGCACATTTTACTCTTTTTTATTGGTGTATTTCACGAAACTATTCATCTGTTAGTTTGGTTCTGCTGTACTAGTACTTCAAAGAAGCATTCATATTTTTTCTTTCCTTTTTTATGTTCTTTTGAGTTAGCCCACAGCTATTTGTGTACCATATTAATTTTAGTGATGCGACAAGCAAATTCGAAACACTTGGATACTAACTATCATTTTGAGGTGTCAGTTTCTGGAGGTTGGGGGTGGGGGATGAGTGACACATTCGAGGGTGGGTGGTGAGGGGCTGAAATAGAGGAGGGGACTGAAGGGGGAAGGGGGGTAAATTGCCAGCTAGGTGCGTGGTGTGTAGGGGGGGAGGGGGATCTTCGGAGTCCTGACAACTGAGCTACAGCTTCTCGATCCCTGCCCTATGGAGATCTTCAGTGTACTACTGCACACTGCTACTCAATAGAAGCCAGTCGAGTTGTGTGAGTCAGCTAGCGCTAGGTGCATGCTGTGCAGCCACAGACCTAGAAACACAGCATGGGCTGTGTGCAGGGAACTAACTACCGTACTGGCAATATAATGTTGCCGCGTAACGCGTAACGCAGGGGGGTGCGGCGTAACGCGCGACCAGGCTAGTGCGACAAATTTTCGTTGCGTTCGTAACGCGCGTCCGGCGGGGTGCGGCGATCTTTTCATTGCAAAAAAGGCTGAAAACTGTGGAAGCACGTGTACCGCGTGGTGAAAAGTTCAAAACTGGACGCAGCAGGAAGTCCTGCAATAGCAAAAAAAAGGACTGCGGCAATATAGAAACCTGTGTAACGGCTCCTGTGCGACTTTGCATGTAACGCCCTGCGTGCGGTAAACATGTGCCAATGTAACGCTTCATGGCCTCACTGCGACCATATATATTGCCAGTACGGTAACTTGTTCATGAGATAAGATTTCATTGACCCGTGTTGTAGTACACAGGAGATCTGCTGCTTTCAGTTATGAGAAGGTATCACCATGGTACATCCCATTCCTACAGATGACAGATATCACCATGGTGCATCCCATTCCTCCAGATGACATTGGTTTCCTACAGTTGTGCATCAGTTTCCTACAAATTGTGATAGAGAGTGCCTTTGTTAGCCCATATGCCGCACTGCCACAGGACAGGTGTACTTACTTTATCAATACCAGTTGATGAACCTCTGCTGCTGGTCGGTATAGACCACTTGTGCACATTGCGGTGATGCAGGTAAGAGGACGGGGTGGATGACAGTGTAGTGCCGGTACCAGTAGCAGTGCGCATACCACTGGCTGGAGTGGTACGCCGCGACAATGTGTCCAGCGTGCTAGTACTGGTGTCGATCACAGATGACATCACCGTTGTGTCATCGGCACAGCTTGTTGCACCTGCAGTTACAGTGCAGTAGCAGCAACAGTCATGGCGAATACTCTAGACACGGTAGAACGGGTGCATACAGTGGATGAACAACACACGATACAGTCAAACCTGTAACTACTATAAACAACCACCCCTCGGGCCATGCAGGGTCTTTAGTTGCAGGTGGTCTTTAGTTGGAGGTTTAGCACCATAATATGATCACGCGGTGCCAAACCTCCAACTGTATGGATCCCACGTAGATGATACGGTAAGGCACAGTGATGAGCACGGGGATATTGTGAATTTTCTAGAATGTTTTCAAGCTTAAACCATGACAGGTGCAGAGCAGTCCACAGTCCAATGAACCTGTGTTCATTTGTTCAATCGCAGTATCAGAGTCTTCCTTCAGGACAATGAAGAGTCATCAAACTTCAAAGACAGAGCTTTCAAACAACTTTTGATTTCCTACATCGCGGTCACTAGTTTATGGGTCAAGAATCGACATTGGGACAAGAAAAGATGGTCGCTGGTTACATTGAGCAGGTAGTCGTTAGTCACAGTGCATGTTGAATGTGAGAGCGTCCGTGCCTGGTGAAATGGTCGGCAGTGGCAGGTGGGTCGCTAGTCACAGTGGTCTTAAATTATAGGTTTTTACTGTACAATCAAGTACAGGTGTGACATGATCAAATTACCAGGTGGTCTTTAAAAATTAAACTGCCACTTTTCTGCGTCACAGGATGTGCTGAATGTACGAGGGTTGTCCTGGTTTCAAAAACCACCTGCGTTCAAACTTTCAAACACAGCGAAATGCCAGTTCCATCGATGATCGCTCAAACCAGCTTTCAGCTGTTCACACTGTCTATAAGTCTTCTAAAATTATGACCAGTGTGACGCTGCTAAGTCATAGCTATCATCGCCTTGGTTCAACTACAGCAGACCGTCATATCAGGGTTCAGCCCAAATCATGTACTTCAAAAGAAGTATGATCTTTGGCTTGCTTCACACGCATGCTTTGTGCAGTTCTGTACTTGTAGCAGTGCGGTGGTGTCCTGGTGTGCTGGTGTAGTGGTGAACTATCCTCTTAGATGCCCAAATGTTGAATTCCAGAACCTACAGCACATCCTCACCTGATGTCCTGGAGACGGAAAGAGGATCGAACGGAAGACCAAGGTAATCCTGGACAAGATTGCACAGCTGTTGGTGGGCAGTGTCGAGTTCATCTGCATGCAGCCACACAGAAACAAGTTATAATTATTATGCACATGCATTCAGCTACACAGAAACAAGTTGCATGCATATAACCACACAGAACAAGCAATATTTGAATGCAGCCGCACAGAAACAAGTTACATGTACATGCATGCGGCCCACAGAAGAAGTAATATGCATGCAGCCCACAGAAGCAATATACAATCAGCCACACAGAACAAGCAATGTGCATGCACTGTCATACAGTCATCAATGTTATACACAAGACAGGCACTTACCACTGTTTATGCCAATATCGAATGTAGACGGATGCTCGTTGTGGTACTTCAGAATGGTGGCCGTTTTCTGCACAGCATGCTGTATCTGTCGTGTTCGGTAACAGCTGCGTTGCCACATGCGCTCCTCATGCACCTATCAGCAAGGAGTAATATGTAAGGGCATATTCATTATGGAACACACAATTACTCTTTAGCTGACGAACGAGTCTATCGAGTACTCTTTAACTACATCTATAAGTAAGAACAAGAGTACATTCATGTACAGGGGATGTTTGAAACTGCAAATTACTTCAAATAAGTGCAGGACAAAAAGTCAAAAAGCTACTGTTAGTACTGTACTGCTTGACTTGGCACGTGCGCTTTTTCTAGGCATGTAATAATTGTGCATATACCAGGTATCAAGAGTAGATAAACAAGAGTGTACAACTCGCGGATGGGTTGGCCCACGGCGGAATTTATTGTTGACGTAATCTTTTCGACGACGCACGCGCTATGAGTCTTTCGGAAAGTTTTCCCTCGTGCACTTGCAGCATTTGCACTACAAAGTCGGTGCCCAGCACGTGCTCTCACACTGCACTGCAACAAAATGCGCGTTCTTCTGAAAAAAGGTGACGTCAACAAAAAATTCCGCCGTGGGCGGGGGTATCTGCAGATTGTGCAGGAGAGATCCGGAGTTGTACACTCTTGTTTATCTACTCTTGCAGGTATGCATATACGTACCACTAACGATCTCATGTAATTGTGAGTTTTGTGTCAGTTTGGTGTCCGTGCTCGTTCTCAGATGTTTTGTCTCAGTCGCTACACAGGGCAGTTCTCCATGTTCTTGTCTCCAGTTACTACACTAGTTACAATTCCAGCCCATGCTCATCTTGTGTAGCGCATGGCTATACCCTGGAGTTGCAGTAGCTGATAGTGTGCTCTGATCAAGACACTTGGATCACTATGGAAGATAGCCAGTGAACAGCACTATAGTGCTTGCTTCATACACATGTCATGTACCTGTGCAATGCACCAGCCAAGTAAAGTAACAACGAGAGAGCTTGGAAGCTCAGGGCCCTACGCTATGCTTTGTTGCTTAGCTCATCGTGCATGTTGTTAGAACTGATGGAAACATTTCCTGTGACCGGCGCTGACTCTGCCGATCACGGGCGTTCTGGAGTCGACGGGATGTCTGTCCTGACGTTTCCTGTGACCGGCGCTGACTCTGCCGATCACGGGCGTTCTGGAGTCGACGGGATCTCTCTTCCGACGGTTCCTGTGACCGGCGCTGAATTGCCCGTTCACGCTTATTTTGGAGACGACGGGATCTCTCTTCCAAAGTATGTTTTTGCTGACGCATCCTATCACCTATTCGGCAACTAACGTCCATTCTAATTACATTTCCCCCTCGTCTCCCTTTTTCTTTCCAAATCTCCCTCTACATCAGGGAGTCGTATACATAATACGACGAATATTGTGGCCAGCTGTTTGTGGCCAGCTGTGTTTGATGGTACGGTACGGAACAGATACGGGAGCCAGCAAATATTGTGGCCAGCTGTTATGTACAATCCTGTAGAGCCTTTGTAGTCACAGATACGGGACAGATACGGGACAGATACGGGATAGCTCCAGGCGTGACACAAACAACAAATAAACACCAAATTAAAGCTGTGTGGACCCACGCTAGCGCCAGACGTTACTGAAGTAACGTCTTCTGCATAGCTGCGGGAATAAAAGTAAATTATTCACTGGTTTGAGGGAAAGATGCAATTATCGTCTCCATTCCCGAAGGAAGTCGTGGCGGCTGCTAACACCCGGAAAATCCAGCGGCAGATGCAGCGCCTAATGATGGGTGACAGGGGATAAGTCCCACAGACCCCCCACAGTCAAGTAGCAGTGACAAATTGAATATTTGCAGGGTTTTAAAGGCCTTACAGTTTCTGATCTTGTCACCACCATAACTAGTCGTGGATTGATGTAGCTTGTCCTCATTTGAAGTGCGCCCTACAGCAATCAAAACCCACAGGCAAGAAACAGCAATAGCACAAGAAAGCCACCATTACATGTACTCATTTAGTCAGCAATGTTTGCACCTGCACACAAGACCAGGATGGGTGGGGGTGGGAAGGAGGGGACCACCTGTACATCTTCTCATAGTTTCATGTTTTCCCAGACATGAGGCATGAATGTGACATGGTGCTCTTTGCGCTCATGACAAGAGGCACACACCAACCGCCAGTCTTTCAGCCCTTTGTCAGACAATGTGCGTTCAGCCAGCCGTCCACCTCACTAGTAGGTGTGACTGTAGCCCTGCAATCGGCTGTGGTTCTTCAGCCGTCTAACAACTATACTCTTTTAAGGCCGATTCACAGTACAACTTCTCGCGACACGACGTGCGACTTGCGACACCTGCGACGAGCTGCGATAACGACACACGGTTTACAGTCTTTGTCATGCTTGCGACATCCTTATGCACTAGTAGTATTATGCACGTGCACTGCACGTGCACCCAGGGTAGAAACTGTACTGCATTTGTGTATGTCGCACGTCACATGTCACAAAAGTTGAACGTGCTTCAACTTCTGAGACAGGTGCCTTGCGACTGTGCGCGACAGCTCACGACAGGCAGTTTCTTGTCGCAACTGGACTCAGGACCTAAGGATCCGTCATTAGAGGGACGAACATTGCCACCCATGTTAAAGCTGAAGAGTGGTGAGGGTAGTCGCTGCTCTAAAATAGTTTCGAGTAGTGAACAGCACACTCGGACTTGCTTAGGACTCAATAGAGTGTTGTTCATGAAAGATGGTAATTCACGCACATGCTGTCTTCTGTGGACACCATCCCTGGACCATGTTGTATGACTGTATTGCAGCGTTTTATATCTGGATTAAACACAGCTCTGACCAGGCGCATATGTACACAACTTGAATGTAGTTCTGAGCGGCGACGACTTCCCAGTTACGGACGGGACGCAGTCCGATGTAGGCCGCACTAAGTTAAGTGGAGCTTGGGTATTTCTGAACATACACACAGCTCAGACGACCTGTGAGCCAGTACTTACATCAAGTTCCATGTGTGTGACAGTGGCCAAGCCACGACTGGCATGCCTCTCAACCTCGTCAATGCTCAGTCCATAGTGATGGCCCCAAAGATCAGATACTTCGATGAATTCACCCTGCAGACACAGCCAACACCATGGGGTTTTTAAACTAAGAAGACTGTCAAACCTGAAGTACGATTTGCATGAGAAAGCATCTGTTACACCACCATGCAGATCCGGATCATATAGCTGGGTAGCGTTGGTACAAAAGTAAAGAGGGCTTTCAATTACAGCACGAAAAAGATCGGTTACTGTAGTATATGAGACGCGTCAAGGTAAAGAATGGCTTAGAGTTTTGCCAACCAATCGAGAAACTCACCAAAAAACGTCATGGGTCACATGCGAGCTGCATGACGCAATGCTAGATGTGCTAACCAGAGCAAAGTGAGGAACCTCAAGTGTACAGTCAGAATCTTCATCTGGTCACTGAGTTCACATACTGAGCAAAAGGGGGAAAGGCTGAAAGGGCACTTCACAACTGCCCGGAGAACAGGATTGCGTACTTCTGTCAAACTTACCTTTGCTGTCATGGACGTGAACTCGGCATCACTGACAAAGTAGTAGTCCTCCTGGTCACGCTCATGTTCACGTCTTGGTCGCGTTGTATGGGACACTCTACGGTATGCACAGAGTACACCAGAGACAAAGGAAACAATACAAAACATAGGAGAGGATGACACCGGGACTGAAGCATGACATGCACTATACAATGTACAGCGCTGTTCTTCTCCAGAGATCCAAGCAATCAAGACAGACCAGCCTGAGACTGGCAATGAGCGCAACAGTTTTTTTGGACTGCATTTAAGACCAGCCAGCTGTACATATACTTTGAGTACAATAATAGACTATAAATACTCGCTGAGAGAACTAGCACGGACACATAGGCATACTCAGTCACAGTATTTAGAAGAAATAACCATCCGCTCTTCTGCATTGCACAGCAAGTCATTTGTAAGTACAACATACTCACCCATTACGGACTTACCCAAAGCCAAAGAATTCAGAGAAGTCCTCCAGCAGCCGCTGGCAGAGGAACTTCTTGCCTGTCCCGGGTGGGCCAACCAGGATGAGCATCGGATAGGACGTGTCTTTACCGGGCATTGTACTACAAAACATGCACATGCGCATGCGCCGAATACATACACATACAAGCAAACACGTCCAAACACACACATACATGCACAAACACACACACACATACATGCACAAACACACACATACATGCACAAACACACACATACATGCACAAACACACACATACATGCACAAACACACACATACATGCACAAACACACACATACATGCACACACACACACATACATGCACACACACACACATACATGCACACACACACACATACATGCACACACACACACATACATGCACACACACACACATACATGCACACACACACACATACATGCACACACACACACATACATGCACACACACACACATACATGCACACACACACACATACATGCACAAACACACACATACATGCACAAACACACACATACATGCACAAACACACACATACATGCACAAACACACACACATACATGCACACACACACACATACATGCACAAACACACACATACATGCACAAACACACACATACATGCACAAACACACACATACATGCACAAACACACACATACATGCACAAACACACACACATACATGCACACACACACACATACATGCACAAACACACACATACATGCACAAACACACACATACATGCACAAACACACACATACATGCACAAACACACACACATACATGCACAAACACACACATACATGCACAAACACACACATACATGCACAAACACACACATACATGCACAAACACACACATACATGCACAAACACACACATACATGCACAAACACACACATACATGCACAAACACACACATACATGCACAAACACACACATACATGCACAAACACACACACATACATGCACAAACACACACATACATGCACAAACACACACATACATGCACAAACACACACATACATGCACAAACACACACATACATGCACAAACACACACATACATGCACAAACACACACATACATGCACAAACACACACATACATGCACAAACACACACATACATGCACAAACACACACATACATGCACAAACACACACATACATGCACAAACACACACATACATGCACAAACACACACATACATGCACAAACACACACATACATGCACAAACACACACATACATGCACAAACACACACACACATACATGCACAAACACACACATACATGCACAAACACACACACACATACATGCACAAACACACACATACATGCACAAACACACACATACATGCACAAACACACACACACATACATGCACAAACACACACATACATGCACAAACACACACACACATACATGCACAAACACACACATACATGCACAAACACACACACACATACATGCACAAACACACACATACATGCACAAACACACACATACATGCACAAACACACACATACATGCACAAACACACACATACATGCACAAACACACACATACATGCACAAACACACACATACATGCACAAACACACACATACATGCACAAACACACACATACATGCACAAACACACACATACATGCACAAACACACACATACATGCACAAACACACACACACACACATACATGCACAAACACACACATACATGCACAAACACACACACATACATGCACAAACACACACATACATGCACAAACACACACACACACACACATACAATAAAACCTGTCAAGGCGACCACTCGGATAAGGCGAACACCTGTCCAAGAAGACCACTGAAACCAGGATCAAGGAATGCTATTTCCAGTCAAATGACCCTGGATAAGGAGACGCCTGGTAACAAAGACCACATTTTGAAGGTCCCTTGAGCGGTCGTCATCTTAGGCAAGTTTCACTGTATAGAGTGGGTATAGACACAGCAACACAAGCCAATCATCTTGTCACTCTACGCGTATCTTGTACTGATGGTTATTGACTAGTGTCTGATGGTTATTGACTAGTGTAATGCGTGACTAGTGTAACCTGGCCTATTCATGCATTGTCTGTCAAAGCAGTAACCATGGTAACAAACACCACTGGGACTCTGAATCACTTTAGTAGGGAGTTCAGTTCCGGTCACTGAAAAGCGAAAAATGCAGTCACAGCTCGCCTGTATAAAGTGAATGGGCGCCTCGTGACTGCAGTTCGAGATGCAGTTCGATGCCCGAGTATCTTCTCCCGCGGCCTTTTCGGCCTTGTCGATACTATTTTTAGGTAGCTGAGGTCATTACCTTTCCAATGGTGCCACACATGCCATGCTTCCAAAAATAATGCCTCCGCGCTTGGCGCGAATGCACTTCGAAGTACTAATTTCGACTAGATCCGTACTCGGCCCCGCGAGGAACACCCGATTTTCGTGTTCAGCGGCCTCGAATTAGCCTAAATCAAGAGGATTCTAGAACATTGAGGCTCGCGCTTTATCGCGGTAGAAGGAAGATGATCACAGAAACCAGCCCACGGCGATTTCCTGGTGGTAGACGAAAAAAATCGAATGAACTGCGCACACACTATAGAAGCAGTGACGGTGAAAACGTGTGACTTGTGCAAGTAGGCGCGCACGGCAGGCGTGCACACTGCATGCATGCACACATCCTGTATCGCCATGTATGCACCAGAGTAGTGCAGTGCTGGACGGAAACCGCACGGCTCACAGACATGCTTGCATTTACTTCTGTGACTACTTTCTCCCCCGTTTTCTGATCTTCAATCGACTATAACTTTAGATTGCCTTAGAATTTTGGGTTCAAATTTTCACAGGTTGTTTCTCACATCTTCCCGGTTTAGAAAAACTAGCGTTTTATGCGAAACTCGCGAATTTGGTTTTTGATTGAAGTCCCTAACTTTAGTCAGGGCCTGGGTAATAACATGCCGTAGCAAGTAGGATATAACTTCATGAAAGCATAAGTAGCTCTGAAGTGTGATCACCCTTTTGTATAAGTACGGATATTCCGAGTGATGGTGCCGTGTGTGTGTGTGTATGTGTGTGTGTGTGTGTGTGTGTGTGTGTGTGTGTGTGTGTGTGTGTGTGTGTGTCACTGTGTATGTGTGTGTGTCACTGTGTATGTGTGTGTGTGTGTGTGTGTGTATGTGTGTATGTGTGTGTGTGTGTGTGTGTGTGTGTGTGTGTGTGTCACTGTGTCACTGTGTGTGTGTGTGTGTGTGTGTGTGTGTGTGTGTGTGTGTGTGTGTGTGTGTGTGTGTGTGTGTGTGTGTGTGTGTGTGTGTGTGTGTGTGTGTGTGTGTGTGTGTGTGTGTGTGTGTGTGTGTGTGTGTGTGTGTGTGTGTGTGTGTGTGTGTGTGTGTGTGTGTGTGTGTGTGTGTGTGTGTGTGTGTGTGTGTGTGTGTGTGTGTGTGTGTGTGTGTGTGTGTGTGTGTGTGTGTGTGTGTGTGTGTGTGTGTGTGTGTGTGTGTGTGTGTGTGTGTGTGTGTGTGTGTGTGTGTGTGTGTGTGTGTGTGTGTGTGTGTGTGTGTGTGTGTGTGTGTGTGTGTGTGTGTGTGTGTGTGTGTGTGTGTGTGTGTGTGTGTGTGTGTGTGTGTGTGTGTGTGTGTGTGTGTGTGTGTGTGTGTGTGTGTGTGTGTGTGTGTGTGTGTGTGTGTGTGTGTGTGTGTGTGTGTGTGTGTGTGTGTGTGTGTGTGTGTGTGTGTGTGTGTGTGTGTGTGTGTGTGTGTGTGTGTGTGTGTGTGTGTGTGTGTGTGTGTGTGTGTGTGTGTGTGTGTGTGTGTGTGTGTGTGTGTGTGTGTGTGTGTGTGTGTGTGTGTGTGTGTGTGTGTGTGTGTGTGTGTGTGTGTGTGTGTGTGTGTGTGTGTGTGTGTGTGTGTGTGTGTGTGTGTGTGTGTGTGTGTGTGTGTGTGTGTGTGTGTGTGTGTGTGTGTGTGTGTGTGTGTGTGTGTGTGTGTGTGTGTGTGTGTGTGTGTGTGTGTGTGTGTGTGTGTGTGTGTGTGTGTGTGTGTGTGTGTGTGTGTGTGTGTGTGTGTGTGTGTGTGTGTGTGTGTGTGTGTGTGTGTGTGTGTGTGTGTGTGTGTGTGTGTGTGTGTGTGTGTGTGTGTGTGTGTGTGTGTGTGTGTGTGTGTGTGTGTGTGTGTGTGTGTGTGTGTGTGTGTGTGTGTGTGTGTGTGTGTGTGTGTGTGTGTGTGTGTGTGTGTGTGTGTGTGTGTGTGTGTGTGTGTGTGTGTGTGTGTGTGTGTGTGTGTGTGTGTGTGTGTGTGTGTGTGTGTGTGTGTGTGTGATTGGTAAGAAGCTGCCTAGGATGGTTGTGAAATACATTGCACTTCCAAAAATATTGAACAAAGACAACGTGACTCTGCCTACATGCACAGTCTACAGAAAAAAAAGAAAAAAATCAGATTGCCCAAACCAGCCATGGTCTCTTCACTCACGTGTGACTCGGCTGCACCATCTGATTTGTGAAGCGTTTGACTTTCAATTGAGAGAAGCGCTGAACTGCCCAGAGTTCTACTGGCGGGTTGTACTGCAGTCTGGCCTCAGTCTGTCAACATTAGCGGGAACAATCAAACGGCCACGAGTGAGTTAGTTCACAGCCACACTCACACCAACTGTGTTAGCAAAGAGTTCAAAGACAAAGTGCAGCATCTACTTGCATACCGGTAAGCGGTATAACATGTTCCTGTGCACTACATCAACTTGTATTTTAGAAGTGGCTGCTAAGCCCGAAAGTTAACAGCCAGCTTGTGAGCTGTAAAGCTTTGTCAATGCTTCTCAAATACTGTGACACGGCTGCCTCTACTCCTCTTGGAGGACACGAGCTGGCATTTGTGTTACATGACAACATCCGCAGTCACGGTGGCATTCATGACTAGCTGATACCCTAACTTTTCAGTGTCTCACTTGAACGTACCGTGACCGTGGCAGTCCGGCAAAACAATCGTACAAGTCCCGCATTCTGTTGCTCTTACAGTTCTTCCTTGTCACATTCAAGATTGGAGAAGTCAAATGACAGTGTTAGAAATTCGGTCAGGTTTTACAAAACTGGAACAGGTCACAGGTATGCCGTCGCAATGAGAGATTTTATCTGAATGGACTATACCACACGTTCCCAGACTGAGTTTCTTTGGAGCTGGATGATTTCCTGCATTGTCTGCTAAACACCATGAGCTGATATCCTTTTATATCACTGGCATGGTAGACACAGCTTCCCGAAACCACGACATTTCGTCCAATCATCACTTTACTGACCAATATGTGCTTACCAATTCCTTGCTTGTCACCTCTTGCTCATCCAGCACTACCAGAAGTGACTTCCATGGCATGCCAAGAACTTTCCGGCGGTAGCCAACATCAGCCTGCACACACAAAGGCAGCCAAAAGTATGACCCAAGACCCAGGACCCAAGACCTAGGACTTAAGACCGATGACCCAGGACCCAGGACCCAAGACTCAATACCTAGGACCTAGGGTCGACTCAAGACGCAGGACTCAGAACCCAGAACCCACAGGACTGTGACTGTGACGTATTGGTACTACACTCTGTCTGTAACTGCACAGGGTGCATACAGAAAAGTTACAAACCCCGTGTGAACACATGCAATGCACCAACCCTATCCCTGGATATGACGATCCTATAGGCTTTAGGGCAGCTGGTCAGGTCCAGGTGCTACAGTGTAGCTCAGCTGCATTCTACATCAGCATGCATAGGAAGTATACCACACATATACCATAGTACAGTGGAGATCAGACATGCAGGCATGGTCTTTGATCCTACCTTGGACAGCTCCGGTGAAAAGTCGATGTTCCACAGCAATGGAAGATGCCAGGCACTCTCGAGCTTCTTCACCTCGTGAATCTGAACATTTTCACGCAGGACATTGTATAAGTGACTACAAGTACTATTTACCACTGTACAGGCCCGGCAAAACTCAGTGGTCCGTGCCAGACCAGCTTTTCATCAGCCCCTAGCTGGCTGCTGGTGAGTAAAATGTCACGATTGTGTACCCACCATGTCATACAAAAAGAAGCACATAAACCTATGGTAAGGTACCACATAAACTGGCTGCTTACTGGATTGTCAGTGACTAGAAGCTGCTCTAAGCGCACGCAGTTCTCAATACCAGCCAGAGATGTGAGATTATTCCGCGTCATATCCAATATCTGGAATGGAGAAAAGCAGGCGCAACCAATAAGCCCTCTGTCACAAACCACCAAGGAGCAGTGCATCCCGTAGAAATATGTACTAGAACTCAGGGCATCAGGGCATGCCTTCACTTCCTCATGAAGATATCAGCATTGGCAACAGGGCAAAGGAGAAATTCAGCACACACTCTGTGTTTTGGCATTAGGTCCGGTGGGTATCAGGGAACGGAAATATGCGCAGGCAATATGCGCAGGCAATATGCGCAGGCAATATGCGCAGGCTGTGCCGCAGGCTGTGCCGCAGGCTGTGCCGCAGGCTTTTTCAGGCTGCGGTGCCGCAGATCATAGTCGGAGTCACAACCTGTAGCTTACTTGTGTGGGAAATTCTAAAATCTAAACGGGCGCTTCGCGGCAGAGTAAGGAAATCTTCCTACCTTTAGATGAGCCATGTGAGTCAAATTCTCTATTTTCTCCACAAAATTGTTTGCCTGCATGGGAATACAAGCAATCAGCGCAGTGCCACACAGGGGTAACAGATATTGGTAGGGTTTGATATCCTCATACTATTAAGTTAAGCAGCTTGAATCATCAGAGAAGAGCACCACCTGCACTATTCCGAGGACTGGTCACTGAAATAATGATCTACTCTCTAATACCTGCTGACCCTACAGTCAGCATCGCCAATGGGAATCCTGCACTTGGTGAGTGCCTAGAAAACCGTACGAAATACTAACATAGCTTTCTTGAGTCATAATGCTGGTGGGCATAGCCAGTATAGTACATATTGCAGAATGCCAGTGCACGCCTGAGTGGACTGATGAGATGTTTAAATTGCCAAGGTAGAAAACAGGACAATAACTTTTAATTCTCGTAGCTATGCAGAAGACGTTACTTCAGTAACGTCTGGCGCTAGCCAGGGTCCACACAGCTTTAATTTGGTGTTTGTGTGTTTGTGTGTGTGTGTGTGTGTTTGTGTCACGCCTGGCGCTATCCCGTATCTGTCCCGTACCATATACCGTACCATCAAACACAACTGGCCACATACAGCTGGCCGCAATATTCGAATAGGCCTTTCAAACGCAAGATCATAACGTGAAGCAACTTGGAAGAATGAGTATGAATGCGATGTGTATGGGGGAATGCATGTAGGGCGATAGTGCGGGTTCGAATCCCAGGTAATGCCTGAAAAAAATAGGAGAATTGACAAATTTATAACATCCCTTTCCTTTTTTGCCGTCATCAAGGCGGTAGACGGTGTCGTATTACCCTCGACCGTACCTGTACCGTACCTGTCCCGTACCTGTCCCGTACCCGTCCCGTACCTGTCCCGTACCTATCCCGTACCGTACCGTACAATCAAAGACGGCTGGCCACAATGCATATTCAAATAGGGCTTTCAAATACAAGATCATAACGTGAAGCAACTTGGAAGAATTAGTATGTATGCGAAGTGTATCGGGGATGCATGCAGGGCGATAGTGCGGGTTCGAATCCCAGGTTATGTCTAAAAACAAAAAGTAGAAACTTATAAGAATGTATAACATCCCTATGCTTTTTTTGTCTTGGTCATCAAGGCAAAAAAGCATAGCGTAGGGCTGAGCTTCCAAGCTCTTTCGTATACTTGTAACGAGGATCTGCATAGTACTTCAGACCCTTATGGGCCGTCCATAAAATCCTATTTCGGGCACACACGCCGCCCATCCGGCTGCTAGCTTGTACGTGACGTGATGTTTGGTGTCGTGGATGGTAAGAGAAAGCGTGGTCGTCCGAAGATTTCCTTTGCTGACAATAATTATCGTTTCGTGGACTGGTATGTCTCTGCATGAGAATTGCCAGTTGGCATCTGACAGAGATGCCTGGCAGTCACACTGTGCATCTACTGCTTACACAGCTGCATAATGCCGTGTATTTTTTATTTTTTTATTTTACTCAAGTACTATTATTATTTTTTCGGCAACGCAGATGATGATGATGATGATGATAAAATTCGAAAAAAGAAAAGATATTGGATGGTGGCCAAGTTCAGGTCGACTCAACCCCCTCCCCCCCCCCCCCCACATTTTGAACACTATTATTATTCCTTCTTCAAATATGCTATATGTGTGAATTAAACCATTTTCTTCAATTGTCGGCATGTGTGTGTATATGCATACACGGGCACTGGACTAAAACTACGTCTTCTTCACGAGACCTCAAACAACGTCCTCTACGTCATGGATAAACGTCCTCTACGTCATGGATAAAACTTGATCTGCTGCAGTATGTGACGAGCACTTCAAATAGCAAAGATGTTGAAGGGCATGCGTGTTCAACATGAGAAAAGCGAAGGGCCACGACGTCATGCAAGCACCTTTTACTATTCCCTGCATGGCAGGCATCGAATGGTCATTATTATGACGAGATTCATTTAGATTGGACAACCACACAGCAATCCAAATACGGCGTCGCATTGTGTTGCGCAACGGGTCTAGAGTGAAAGACTTTTCATGGCTTATTTATGTTGTTCTTTAGTTTTATTGTGTAGTGGTTTAGTCTTGACTTTGTTGCATTGTTTTGGTTGCATGTGCAGTCTTCTGTACATGTATACACCATGCAACGCTTACGTCATCGTCGCGCATGCAACATTATTTCGTGCGCATGCTCATTATATACTGCCGCAACGTTTGTCCTTTTCTTTAGTTATCAGGTTTGCCTAGTCGTGTCCAGTCTTCGCGTCTGTCCGTCTTCGTCTTGTCCAGATATTATGTAGAACTTTTAGTTCAGTTGCGCTGTTGTGTGTGGCGAGTCGGATGGGCGGGGAGGCTGGGCCCCTGACGCCTGGAGAAGATGTGCTGGTGCACGAAATTGGCGACGAAGGAAAACGCATCGAAATCAAATAACCATTTGTACGTCTACGTCGTTGGGAGGCAGTTTGCACCGTGCACGAGTGGACGAGTGACCAACGAGGGAGCTGCGCCGCTGTCCGCAGTTTGTACCTGGGATTGAGTGACCTCCGAGGGAGCTGCTTGAGTCTGACGACAAGGACGGTGCGAAGGAAAACGCATCGAAATCAAATAACCATTTGTACGTCTACGTCGTTGGGAGGCAGTTTGCACCGTGCCAGACTGGACGAGTGACCAACGAGGGAGCTGCGCCGCTGTCCGCAGTTTGTACCTGGGATTGGGTGACCTCCGAGGGAGCTGCTTGAATCCGACGACAAGGACGGTGCGAAGGAAAACGCATCGAAATCAAATAACCCACGGTACGGTCGTCCACAGTGGAGGAACCCTGCGGGGCGCTGTTCTGGACGACAAGAAGAAGGACATGGAGGGTGCGAAGGAAAACGCATCGTGAACAAATAACCCGCCATGAGTGTGAAGGAGTTTAGAAGGTGCTCCCGCTTTGATTTGTTGTAGAAGTTTGTAGTTTTGACTTGCTCGATTTGTTTGATCTGTACTCGATGTGTTGGTGCCTGGCCTGGTGATAGGTCGGATGTACTGTAGTTTATTGCCTTGATTTGCTGGTGCCTGGTGACAGTTCGGAAGCTGACTTCCGTTTGTATTTTCTATTGATGGTTCATTTGTTATTATTTATTTTGCCGTTTGTGAGTCTTAGATTATCTATGCGTGCAGCATAGATTATAATGTAGTACAGTTTGCAGCCTCCTTGAGCCTTGAAAAGGTCTTTGGCGGGGAGTATGTTGCGCAACGGGTCTAGAGTGAAAGACTTTTCATGGCTTATTTATGTTGTTCTTTAGTTTTATTGTGTAGTGGTTTAGTCTTGACTTTGTTGCATTGTTTTGGTTGCATGTGCAGTCTTCTGTACATGTATACACCATGCAACGCTTACGTCATCGTCGCGCATGCAACATTATTTCGTGCGCATGCTCATTATATACTGCCGCAACGTTTGTCCTTTTCTTTAGTTATCAGGTTTGCCTAGTCGTGTCCAGTCTTCGCGTCTGTCCGTCTTCGTCTTGTCCAGATATTATGTAGAACTTTTAGTTCAGTTGCGCTGTTGTGTGTGGCGAGTCGGATGGGCGGGGAGGCTGGGCCCCTGACGCCTGGAGAAGATGTGCTGGTGCACGAAACATTGTGATGGGAACAATTTGTAGTTTTCAAAGAATAGAAGAATCCGCCCGCGGGGTATTTTACCACCCACCCCCTTTTGCCCACTACAATTTATCTGGCTTTTTTCATTTTTCAAATTGCATGGGTGTCCCCTGACACATGACCCTATACATGTATAATGGATCAATGGCATTCACAGTGAACAATGGCATTCACAGTGAACAATGGCATTCACAGTGAACAATGGCATTCACAGTGAACAATGGCATTCACAGTGAACAATGGCATTCACAGTGAACAATGGCATTCACAGTGAACAATGGCATTCACAGTGAACAATGGCATTCACAGTGAACAATGGCATTCACAGTGAACAATGGCATTCACAGTGAACAATGGCATTCACAGTGAACAATGGCATTCACAGTGAACAATGGCATTCACAGTGAACAATGGCATTCACAGTGAACAATGGCATTCACAGTGAACAATGGCATTCACAGTGAAGTGTACGAGGAGAGACCTGAAGGTCAGGTTAAGGTGCAGTAACAGTTAGTGCTCACCAAATTCAGAACTTCCAGGTGAGGGGTGTTCAGCTGTGCCATGCTGTGGATCGAGTTGTCCTGCAGCATCAAGACTCTCATGGAGGCAGATGTCTGAAATGTTGGACAAACGTCCAGTTGGTTACCTGAAGTAGATCATGATTGATGGACATCAGGCAACACTTTGTCAGGTAGTGGTTAACTTTACCAAGCACGCTTGCCGAGTATTTCTCCCACCTTTTAAGGTAAAATGCTACAGTATAAAGGCTTAGGATAGCCGGCTTACTAGTATGGAGATTGCCAAGGAAATTGCCATGGTGATCTGCAGGAAATGGCAGTGTACCTGCTGCAAGTGCTAACGCTAACTGCATTTTAAACAACTGTGGCTAATGGGAAGTCACCATCCAACTAACCGCCATGCTGTGACAGGCATTAATACACTACTGCCGGTGTGGTAGATGTCTCAAGCTCCACCGTGACTGATGCATAATGTACATACAGGGAGACTGTCATGAAACAATTTTAGGTTTCAGCAATAATCTTGTAACGTACACAGCTAGATAGTTGACAGGGACTCGATCGGTGCGACCGTATGCATGCACCTTTAGGTTTAGTGCCCTGTTGTTGGCACAGTTCAATGGGGGGGGGGGGGGGCAAAGCAGCTGCACTTCACACAGTTTTATAATCGCGTGAAAAGAGTTTAATGTACCTTGAAGACGCAGTTCCCGGAGAAGTGGCATGTTGGTTGTTGGAAAGCCAGTCAGCTTATTGTGCGAGAGGTCGAGAAACTGCAGAGAAGTATTCCATGCAAAACACCGGACACACACGCAGAGAGTATTGTTATGCATGGTCTTCTAAAACCCTTTAAACTCAACTAGAAGTTTGCAATAAAAATGGACCATCAAATGTAAATAGACTGTTGAAGCGTCAGCAGCAAAACCGGCACCTGGCACTCAAGTTGAAATGCCAGAAAGCATGTGTACTATGCTACCGGTATCTACTAACCAAGTAATTAGCCAATACCCTTGCACGTAGCCAAGAAACATAAAATTATTATTATTCTTTATTTCCACGATGGCCCATAGCCAATAAGGAAGATAAAAATTATGATTCAAACCAGTCCAGAATCATATAAAATCAGTCTAGCAAGTAAGGAAACCAACACATTGCAGGGGGGGGGGGGGTGGGGTTACGATGGGGTACAGTGTGAGCTACTACAGGAGCATATGGATGATAGAATGAGGCTAGACGCCATTGATTTAAACGCATGCTTGCTATTTGTTTCACGCAGGTCGGGGGGTAGTTGGTTGAAATTGTGAAGGGACAGGTTGATGGGTGAGTTGGTGTTCCGGTATGTGTGTGATGTTCTCAATGTGTATGTTATCATGTGTCGTAGTAGCGGCATATGGCTGCTCTGTAATTGGTCGTGCAAGGTGAGGCTGTTGCAGGTGAAGGGGAGCATGGATGTACTTGATGTTGTGGGCAAGATAACCTGTCGTAAGAGTTGCCGGGACTAATGTGGGAAGTTGGAGATGATGAAGAAGTGAGCTGTGATGGACTGGTGCAAAAAAGGGGATCCGCAAGCAGATACGGGCTGCTCGTCGCTGAACGTGTTCTAATTGGTCCTTCTGTGTGCGGGTGGTGTTGGATAACACGAGACTGCCGTACTCTATAACCGGGCGAATGTAGGCGGTGTAGATTACGAGCAGACTGGGGGTGTTAAGTTGGCCTCGTGTTTTACGAAGTTGGTGAAGGAGTTTTTTGGATTTGTTTATTATGTGCGTGACATGTGACTTGATGTGAGTTCCATTGGAGGTTATTTTGAAATGGACAACACAGAGCAAGAAGTGCCTGATATCCTCATCCCTACGGTAGAAAGCATGTGAAACGTATAGGGAGTATGGCCAGCCATACAGATTATGCCCTTGGAGCTACGCATTCACAACATACTGTGTTGGCCTGTAACCAGATCTGGCACACTGAACAATTCACTTGGGTGCGGCATTCCAGACTGAACTCATAGACATGAACACTTACAGTGATTAAGTTCAGTCCTTGGACGTAGTCGAAGTCACGCAGCGATGATATGTGATTGTGTGCCATGTTGATGTAATAGAGATCGGGCATGTTGGCCAATGGTCCAATGCCTGTATAATAGCACGTCAAAAACACAGGAATCAGATGCCCAGTCAAGTACACATAAAACTGCTGGCTGCCAGCACAATGGATTCTCGAGTCGGTGCAGGCGTGTACCGCTTTGTGGAAATCCACACCAATAACATATGGGGTGTTTTTGTCTACATGTTCTATACATGTACTATGGTTTACCCAGCAATTTCAGTATTTCCGTTTCCAATAGAAGCACTTCAAAGGGCACTATGCAACATGCCATTCAGATCGTATCTGCATTAGTTTCATCGCTGTTCACCACTGAATGCGTTATATTCTGAAGATGTATCAAAAACAACCAATCAATTGGATGGAATTGAAATCTGCGTGAAGTACCCATCGGTGTAGTGAACCAGATCACGAAATACACACAGCACACACATCCAGCAGTGGAGTGTTAATGAAGGATGCTACGCTCATCCGCATGGGCAGTGGATTGGTTTTCAGGAAAAGTCAACACAATCGCCGCTGTGCATACTTTGGATCATGTTGTGGCTGGCATCGATGTATTGAAGACTGCCATGCTTCCTCAGAAGTTCCAGGTCTGATATTCGACGGCCCTGCAACACACAGGCACAGCATCTCAGGATGTACATATACTGTACAAGCAGAAATATTCGTCTGGAATTTAATTTCGTCTTTTTCGTCCAACGAGCTGTTGGACTAAATTAAATGCCGGACTAATATTGATTTGTCCAGCTTTTCAATACACTCTTATGATCCATGGACGAAATTTACAACCGGACGAATCCCCTTTCTTTGGAGTTGGACGAAATTATTGACCGACGAAATTTTCTGCTTATACAGTACACAGTCATATGTACTGCTTGGGGTATGTCTGATGATCGTTCATCATCAACCTCAAGAGATACGAACATAACTGCACATCCTCGACTGTGTGTCTATGCTCTGTACACTTTCAGACATTGACCATGTAAGACTGGTGGACTGTACGCGGCTTACAGTAGAGGAGACGGCTCGATACCGGAACGTTTTGACAGCCAAATTTGTATAGACCCAAAACGATCATCAACGTTGATTTTTCACTCGAAATATGTTTGTGGAAGGAAACTGGCATGTTGAAGTTTGCTCTGGGGCCAGAGTCAATCGAACTGAGCCACTCCTTTGTGTTGACCCATTGCCTCCAAGTTGCCCAATTTTTCGCTTCAAAAAAGTTCAAATCAGAGGTGGCTCCAAACCGGACACGTTTTAGAGTGCCCGTCAAATTCACTCTGGGTCTGAAATTAGGTAATTGCTATCGCTCCACGACGGCCAGTACAGAGTAACAATAAGCCTTGTGTGTGCTTCCATTAGTTTTGATTGGTATGCGGTGCTTTATTGTCGAGAGGCGAGCCGCTGTTTACCTGCGACAAGAAGTTGATTTTTCGAAAGTCGTAAAACTCAAGTCGCAGTGCGAAGCAACACGTCAAAAACTCACCTGCTTGATATGGCGCTTCTGGTCATCGCAGAGCCATGAAATTTTGGCTCGGAGTATAACACATCGTAGTCTCACTGTGACATATGTTTTCTAATCAAAATACCAAGAGAGAAAGTGAATATTGAGTCCGTTCCGGTTTGCAACCTATTTCCTATTTGAAACCGTCGCCTCTACATGTGTACTTGATGTATACAATACAACTTGGGCATGTATAGAGAGCTGTGCCAGTAGTCTTTGCAATAGCGGAGGAGAGAACAGGATCTGGGGTAAACACGCAATGCCCTTTCCAAGTCACCATTAGAGTAGGTCTGATCAGTACTGCATGACTAAATCCAACTTGAACGTAAACTTTAAACCAGTGTCCGAATACAGGAAACGTGAACAGAAAGGTATGAGGGCAACTCATTTAGCACCGGTGGCCAAACAGGCAGTAGCCGCCGTTTTACCTGGGCTAGTGGCGTGAATGCCGCCTAATCGTGCAGGATTTGAACCTGCAACCACTTGTTTGGAAAGCACCCCATTATACTACTCCTTCCAAGGCCCCAGCGTACAGATGGTCTGTCATACAGGCAGCCATTCAGCTGGAGAGTTTACGAAGGAATGAATGTTGTTCCGGTAATTCTGTCTACCCAGTATTCATGTGCTTTCTTACCGATACGTGTAGCTCTCTCTTGATCTTGCCATCGCTTGCACTTGGCAGCAGCTTGGCAGTCAGCAAGGCATTCTGAGCTAACACCTTGCCGGCCCTGGCACTGCCATCCCGAGAGCTCTCTGCCTTGACACTGACGTGTGTCATGTAGGGCTGCAGTGGGCCAGGTGTCCGTGACTGAGCAGTGCGCTCCTGGCTCAATCTCTCGGCCACGTACTCTATATAGCTGCTTCCACACTGTTGCTCCACGTCTTTGAGAAACTTCCCTATGAAGCAAGGAATAGAAATAGTGAACACGTACATTTAGAGATACAGGGCACACCTACTCGAAGATATGCAGTACTGTAGCTTACTACACAACTTGTAGGAGGATCTACAGCAACTATTCCCTTCCATTCCCCAGGAGACCCAGCTGAGATTGCCGGGATACCTGACTTCAGCTGGTCACGCAGTGTCTGCGCTAGGATTTCAAAGCAAGCGGGTACCGGTGTACCTGACACAACTCTTGCAACTGGGTCAGTCCCGGGGTACATTCAGGTGTGACTATTGTACGTCAGGGAGTTTCTTATTGAGTCCCAACCGGGTCACTTGTACCCGGTGTTCTTTTTCCAAGCGGGTCCAAGTACCCCCAGCCGGGTCGCTGGCGCGGCTGACCTGGCTCTGGAGCAGATACTGCTGGTGGGGCGAAGGCAACACAGTAGCAGAAATGAGCACTCTCCTCTCTATGTTGAGTTCATTGAAAGAAATATCTCTAACTTCCATGACTCTACGTACGTTCAGCCTCTTCACTAGGCTGTGCAAGAGCGTCTTCTGTCAGCTGTAGGTCTATATCCATCCAGGAGTCGTCTATACGCAGTCCGGCAATGCGTCGGAAATCCTTCTCAGTCCACTTCCACGGCTCCGAGTGGCCATCTTCATTATCATTTTGAACGTCCAGTCCCACAGCAGACCTACTGGTAACAGCAGCAGGAGCACTGCCAGCAGCTATCTGGTCGTGCCCGTCACGTTTCGGATGTTGGTCAGCTGGTGTGTTGCTACTTGCGTCAACCGAACCCAGCGATGGTACGGCTAATCCTCTCGGCTCTAATACTTGCGACTCCGCCAATGTGGCCGACATATTGCCGAGCTGATTACCAAACCAATGCCACGAAAGCCGAGACTCGAACACCACGAAGCTGACAGTATCGAAGTAAAATAGCACACGCACGCTACAACTAACTTGATAAAGTAAGACTTTTTTGAGAAGCGGTAGTCGAAACGATAGCTTTGTGGTATTCCCTCCAACGTGTTTGCTACTTGTGCAAAGGGAGAGATCAAATTCCTCTCAACCTTGCTCTTCGAGCCACACAACCTTCACCGGTTCAAGACAACAAAAGTACTGATATTTTTTGGTGACAGTGATGTGGCGTGCCAACTATTTGAATGGAATCGGACGATGGTTCAAAAATCAAAAGAGTCGAATCGAAGGCAGGTGATGTTTTTACTACAAATTCCAGTACAATCATGATCATGCATGATGATTGTACATGCAGTGGACGCCCTGGTTGGCCGGTAGATCTACGCAGTGTCGACTGTCACCATGGGCACGAAGTGAACTAAGTAAACTGCCGGTAAGCCTTATGCTTAGGCCGGCCAGTACTCCCACTCGACTCGACTCGAGTCGCAGTAGCACTGTTGTAGCGCTAGCACTAGCGCAGGGCTAGGGAGGTCTTTTTCCGAGTTTTCGCATGGGAGTACACGAGTAGATCTACAATGTAGATTTACCGAGTTGACCTGCTTACCACGGTGTACTCGCCGGCGAGAACGGGTTTATTCACAAAGCCAAACGCGTGAAACCATATTATGCAAGAACCGAAGTAAAAAGACAACCGGTAATAATAGAACACTCAATTGAAGTGTAATAATTATTGGACACAACTAATACTTGACAAGAAACCGTTACCATGGTTACTTGTACCTAAATGGCCTATGTAGTGGCATGCAAAGGCGAAGGCACGTCTCTGCCCGTGTCAGCACAGCCGGCCGCAATATGCTGAAATGGGGCTCCCGACCCTGATAGGCCTTGACAGATTATGCTAGCATAATTTTTCGCATAATTCCTACCAAAATCGAATAATCGCATAATTCGAGGCAAATTGCATACGAATCGCATAAAATTGGAATAATCTACCTGTTCGCATCAAATTCCATACAGTCGTACATGTTCTACAAATACAAGTACAAGTAGATGCACCAGGAAGTCGTAGGTTTACGAGAAATTACGACTCCCTTGATAACATGTCCAGTCCACTACAATCAGTGACGGTCGTAGCTTGGTCGGACGGTGCGTTGTCCCCGTTGAACTTTTGCTACTACAGTGCAACGCCCTCTACAAAAAAATTCCCCTGGTATTTTGCACAGAACCATTATACATTAGCAGCATATGTGAGCATAATGCGGCATAATATGATAACTTTTCGCATAAAAATAGCATAATTCTGCAATTTTTTCAGCAATGCGAAAAGCATAAATTCACGAAAATATTAGCATAATCTGTCAAGGCCTAGACCCTGACAGAATACACCAAGTCTTCTAACGCCAACTTGTCCGCCACCTTCGAACCAACCAGTGCCTCGCTACTAGGCTACTACCCAATTTGCCTACCGTCAGCACCATTCCACTGAGGATGCCCTCTGCCTTCTCACTGACAGTCTCTTCGCTGCCAAGGACAGGGGAAATGTGACCGGACTATGCACATTGGACATGTCCAAAGCATTCGACAAAGTCCGCCACGCACAGCTCATTGTCGATCTGTTTGACGTCGTCGGTGTGTGCGGATCGGCCCTCACCTGGTTTGCCAGCTACCTAACTGCGCGAGAGCAGATGGTCTGCATTGGGTCAACCACGAGTCAGGCCACTCCCTGCACGTGTGGTGTACCACAAGGATCTGTGCTAGGTTCTGTTCTATTTTCCATTTACACCCGCGACGTCCCCTCCGTCCTGTACCCTGTACCCAGCATCCAGTTTGCGGACGACATAGCATTGTATTCCTCGCAGAGTTCTGTTGGGGCTGTCTCTGCTACGCTTACGACGGCAGTCACCAACCTAGCTGTTTGGCTACAGGCGAGGGGCCTTGTCCTCAACCCTTCCAAAAGCCGAGCTGTGACCTTTCTTCCTCACCGACAGGTGGACAACCCTCTCGTAACTGTCCAGTGTCGTGGTGTAGCCGTTCCAACAGCATCGACTACCACATACCTCGGTGTTGTTGTACTTGATAGTAAGCTTTCATGGGACTCTCAAGTCGACCGGATTTGTCAGCAAGACTACCCGTAAGATTGGTGCGCTGTGGCGAGCCCGTCGCTCCCTATCGACATGCCTCTGTCCTCCTTCTTTGAGCGTTGCGCTTATTCTTATTTTGTGTTTCTGTTTCGGTATATTTCGTATTTCAAGGCATACCCCGAGGCTATAGGTATTATTGAGTAAAGGACCATTCTGGAACATTCAGCATAATTGTATTTCTCTAGCTAGGCTGTTCATTACGAATCATTAGCCCTCCACTGTCTGCTATCTCAACCCTACAGCCACCCATTATAATGGAACTCCCTTCAATTTAGACTACGTCTTTGGGAAATCCTCAAATATACATAATATTCCCCGATCTGCTCGGCGTCTCTTCGTCCAGGCTGTTGTCATCCGTGACATAGTCTTTGGCAGTAACGCCTTCTTCCCCGCGCTCCTTGGTCGCCAGCTTGATCGTCTGGGTCTGCTACAGAACAGGGCTATCCGAGCTATTGACGGCCACCCACCCTGCAATCATGCACCCCCTGCTGGTGCAGCACGGCTTGTACCGGATAGGCGAACTCAGCAAGCGCAAGCTACTAGTACTAGTGTTTGTCTGGAGGTGCCTTCACGGGAAAGCTAGTGCCACGTTGTCAGTACTGTTCGTCAGATCTGCTGGCAGGAGAACCCGTCATCAGAGGTCCAGTGGTCTGCTCAGTCAGCCATCCTCCACTCGCTCTGGCGCTTCTCGGCCGTCCGTCGCAGGATCTGCACTCTGGAACCTGCTGCCGGATGATGTTCGGGCCATAGCAAGACAGAAAAAGTTTAGCATAAGTTGCCTACCATATTGTTGCTCAGACTAGCCCGCCCACTAGCTCTCCTGGACCACCCTGTCACCCCTGATACTCGCTTGACTCCTCTGTCAGATACTTCTTCTTTCATAATTTTGTAATTCCTGTTACTCTCTTTTCGAAATGTGACTTATCCATTCGCCTTTATATCACTGGGCCTAGTTCCCGTTTATTGTGCGAATTCAAATAAACCAACCAACCAACCAACGACGTCTTTGCTTTTGTCGACAACTAAAGCAGCCAGTGACTTCAGAAATATGGTGGTTTCCTTGCACACTTTCTACTTCTTCATTCCCTCATGTGTTCTTAGGTCACGATTTCCGGACGAGACAGCGGAGGGACGGCCCAAAGTCAGTGACCCTTACATAAAAAAAGTGTCCTGCTGCGGCGTCCAGAAAGGCAGAAACCCCTAGCCCGTATGTCCAGGCATGCCTCTGGCTGGCGATTAGCCGACGCGGCAGAGATGTCCTCACCATGTAGTGGGAGCACACGTGGCTCAGTCTCGACATCGGGCAGTACCTCCTGCAGGCTGCAGTACGCCGGCCAGAAGGTGCCGAAGCTCGTTATGGCGAGCCGACGGATAACCGCCGGGCGGGCACGTGAATGCTTGGTGCGTGTGAGTCGTATTCATGGGCTTTCCACGTACTAGTGCATGTACACAATGTTCACATACGCTTTCCAATGGCAGACCATAGCGTGTACATTGCGTATCTCTGAAGTCCTAATTGCCAAGTTGATACGCCCTTTTCGTCTGCTACTGCGAGCAGCTAAGGCTCAATACTTGGGCGTGTTAGTAGATAACCAGCTATCATGGCGGCCGCATGCGCTGGCTTTGCAGCAATGGATCCGTCGTACCGTTGGTGTATTGTGGCGCACTCGGAACGACCTCAGCCTGAAGGCCAAACGACTAGTATATTGCCTGGCGATGATACATAATAATAATCTTTATTTCAGGATTACCCAAAGGCTAACACAGTCACGGTTAGTTTTTGCCTCTACCGCACCTACTCCCAGTGCCACGGAATCTGTGCTAGAGGACCTGCAACGCCTTTGCGAAGCTCAGAATCCGCAGCCTGCTGGGAAGCAGGCTGGGCATCCGATCCCAGCCCAGTCAACCATCAACTGATGCCTTGTTGAGCACGATGTCAGTACAACCGCTACAGTCGTAGGGCGCGACACCCGTGGCGCCACTCAACGGCTGTTGCGCGTCCCCTTCTGGCCTGGCCCATAGGGTCCAGCGGATAATGCCGGTGTACTATAGTAGAATGACCCCCCAGCAGATGGACCCCCGGGCATTGTACTATAGTAGAGTGACCCCGGGGGCAATCTACTATATAGTACAATGACCGGGGGTCGTTCTACTATAATAGTAGATTGCCCCCTGTCATTCTACTACAGAGTCCACCAGACTTGTCGTTTCGCACGTGCAGGTACTAGGTAGAAAGGGATGGAGTTTACACCACAGATTCCACGTGGACATTATGGATTGTGGCAAGAGTCCGGGGTTATGTACTCTTGATTGTGGGAATATGTGGCGAAAAGTCCACAACATTTGTACATAGGTCGCGCACTTTTCCTCTTTAGGAGACATGAACATCCCACCTTGTGTTGGATTGTTTTTGTTTTGGAGTTGGAAGAAAGTTTGCAAGTTCAGTGTTCCTTTGCGTTTTCTGTGTGCTCCTTGCTCCTTTTGGATTATTCAGGAGTTCAGGAGTTCACGGACCTCTACTAAAATAGCGGCCGAGGGGGGTCGTTGTACTATATAGTAGAGTGACCCCGGGGGCAATCTACTATATAGTACAATGACCGGGGGGGGGGGGGGGGGGGGCCTTCCACTACGGGGGTCATTCTACTATATGACACCGGCATTATATTCGGCACTAGAGAGGTTAAGTTACACGTTTTTTGCCCTTTTTCAAAACGCGGTGCAAATCTCACGTTACGTGTAATTTTTAGAGGTTAAGTTACACGTGCGACGTGACGTGAACTTTTGCCTGGCAGGATTCGGGTTTAGTTCGCACAAATATCAAATCTTCCAACAAACTCGATAAAACTCGATAAAATTCCGGAAACTCACACAAATTCGGTCGGAATAACCAAGCGAAACTTCCAAAAACTCACGTCATGAACTTACGTGCGGGACAGTCAACTCACGTAAAACACGTCAAATGTTACGTGAGTTTTTTCACTTTTTGACGTAAAAGTTCACGGACGTAAGACTTTTACGTGAAACTTAACCTCTCTACTATACGACTATCCGAGCATCAGAGCATTTATGGAGCATTGGAAAGGAACAAAA